CTTCTCCATCGAGTTGGTCTGCTCCATCATGGAGATGGTGGCGTCCAGGTCGACGTCAATATTGGGGTCATCTCGATGCTTGGATGTCAAACGACGAAGAGCCTGCCTGGCTTCGTCTCGGCGACCAGTGCGCACAAGCCACCATGGGGATTCCGGGGCGAAATAGACACCGACCATGATGGGAACAGGCCATATCCACTGGAGAGCAAAGGGGAGCCTGTAACTCCACTGGGTGGTAATGTTGGTTGTGCCCCGCAGAGCGCCGGAGGCGATGAATTGGCCAATAACCCAGCAGAGGTTGACGTATGTGGTCAGGTAGGCTCTGAGTGCCGTGGGACAGACCTCAGAAGCGTAGGCGACGGTGATGGTCTGGAACACACCCCATGGTAGACCGAGCAGGATCTGACCAGCCAGGAGGTGCTGGAGACTCTGAGCAAAGAAGACGATGAAGATGAAGGCGATGACGAGGAACATGGCAGTGATGATTGTCTTGCGGTAGCCGAACCTCTCAGCGACAATACCATTGATGGTAAGACCGACAATTTCACCAGCCATGGATGCGATTGATAGGGCAGTTTGCCAGCTCGCAGTCAGCTCGTAGGAGCCGTCTGGCTGTAAGTCTCCGTACTTTGCTTTGAAGGCATCGTTGGCGAAAAGGTTGGTAATGAGGACCTTGTCGAAACCCTCCATGACAATGGCGGCCGAGATGAGGACGGACCAGGCCACAGCGTGAGGATATGTCTTGAGACCTTGCATCAATGTCATGCTCTGCTCTGCCGAAGTGGCTCGAGCAGCCTCGGCGGCCTCGTAAGAAAACTCATCTTTGGGGGAGACATCTTCAACTGGCTGTTTCTTCTCTTGCGAAGTCCTCTCTTCGCGGGGAGGGTTGGGAGCAATGTCTCCCGCGGGAGTTTCCTCAGCAGCCATGATCGGTCGGTGTTGATTTGTGCTTGCGCGAAGATGCAAGTAGATACCACTTCGTTAGCAACACAGAGAGAATGAAGGACGGGTAGAAGCAGGATGCGAAGAGGTGGTGGAGGGTGGCATATTTATCGCATGGCACCTCGTGAGCCTCTGTAGTGCATTCTCTCCATGCCGTCCTACCCATGCGCATGTGTTTCCCATTGCCCGCCAATCCATGCATCCCTCTGTATGCGCATCTGTATGTTGTTACCCAACTGGACGGGGACTCCCTCGACTGAACAGCCTGCGATTGGTGCTTCGAAACACAACTCCTCCACAGGCAATTGATCGTCGTCCCCAGACCCCGTTGCGAATGGCGCCACTGGCGCACACACCGACCGGCGGTTTCTGCAATGTGCGACGCAGTCCCCAGCGGGTGGCACCTGGAGCAAATTCTGTACCTGGTCCCCTTTCAAGTGAGGCCGGCCGCGACGTTACGGACTGCCTTTCTGGTACGATTCCAGCCATTGCCACTGCGGGCTCATCACTTACCGGACCCTGACCAACTGGATGGACTCTTGAGTCGAGCAGAAGCCGACCAACGGTTTGTATAGAGGCAATTGGCCTCGTAATCCATGTTGGTTGAGGGGGTTGGGCAGAGCCTCGTAGGCGAGAAGGATCAACTAAAGGCCTTGCCCATGGTTTGCACCCCAAATTCTGCCGTTCACGTGTTGTTCGACCCCTGTTTTGTGAACCAGTACATTGGCAGAGAATGGATTCAGGATTCACGCGAAGGCACGGCTGCAAATTAAGTGCAGGAGCACACGCGAATGGGGGATTTCGAGTGTTGTGTCCTCCAGGAAATTAGCTTCCCCAGATTATCTCAGAAGAGGTTAAAATCTGAGGCAATCAATTGCTCCACAGTCTTGCTCATCAACACTCAGATTCAACCCGGTGTCCTCTGGCACCACTTATGATCGTCAAAGCTGAAAATATTAATTCCGCGATGGACGTCGCATTCCGCTCAGAAGTCTGCTTTAACCACATGATAAAAATGATCGACTTCGTGCATCAGATCTGGATGCAGGGCGGACCGATATCCAGAGCAACGTCATGGGCTGCCCAACCTGACTCACGACATGTGATGAAGAATACCATCACTGACTCAAAGAACAGAAAATCTGATTGTAAAAAATTGCCTAATATAGAAATCTCGATAATTTCTTAATGGTATTTCTATTTGACCCAACTATTGTGGAAATATTGCACGCACGTTGACCGTGAGAGGAAACACCACATATGCTTCAGTTTGGCTCGGTGAATCGGCACCTCTGGGAGGGAAATTTGATTTCTAGATGAAGGCTAACTATGTAACACGATATTCAGATGAAGCGAAATGAAGCCGAACATGATCACATCCTGATAACCTAATACTCGGTTCTTGGTTGTTCCTCACCTCCGGATGTAACTACCTGTCCCATCTCCAACATCTTGAGCTTTAAATAGTTTCGCTATAATATTGTTGAAGGATGTTTCAATTCGCTTCAGAGAAATCCAACATTGAAACTTTTGAACCCATATCTCCTCCCAATCTAGGCCAGCTGTCATCCCATCTCCTGATGCGAGGAGATGTCCCCCTAGTGATACGATGTTCCCTTCTGGGCATGCTACTCAATAAATTACCAACAGAGATGAATTGAGAGAGTATGGCGTGAGAAGTAGCGATGGCGGTGAATGTTTTCATATTCAAGCTATGGTAGGTAATGGGGATTTCATAACAAGGCGGTTTGGATGAGACATTGGGGATGCCAAAGTGACGAGAATGGTAGTGGAAATAAAATAACCCGACGAGATTACCTGGACGCCTGTCCTATCTATTTAAGGAAGGAAAATCTATCATGCGATGAACACAAGCATGTTGGGGGTACGACTAGCCCCCTCATTCTTCATTTATCTTCGCTTTCATGGTCTGACAAAACCAACGAAATATTGCGTTTCAAGTGTTGTCTAACGTCAACCTAGTGTATAATATATCGGACTTAGGAAGAGCTGTAATCGCGACAAGAAAATGCCCCCAGTCGCTGAGCCCAGATTTAAACAGCACACGGCCTTCTCTTCAAGAGGCGTAAGAGTAACAAGTTTATCAGTGTACTAACCAAGGACTCATTTATAGAAAACCAGGATGGGAAGATGTCGAGAAATTTCGGCGTGAAATAATATGAAGAGGTGTATGTTGGAATTTGACCACACAGACGTACCAATTGTTTCCCATGAAGATTTGAACGTCGACTAGCCGCTTCTTGAGGTCTTGAAGAACAATCCCTTGATATTGCTAGATATGGAATTTTGGGAGAGAATTTCAATAAGGGATGGCGAAGGGGCAAATGTCAGTCAATGCGCATCGGATATCTTCACCCTTGGCAGTAAGCGACCACATTTATGATTGATGTTTCGATATCCTTCAACTTCACGAAATCTTCTCTTACTACGCTGTAGACATAATGGACGTGTAATAAGATCACCTTAGACCATCGGTGTATTTATAGGCGCTGTAGATTCTTATGAGCGGCTGGAGGTGGCGCTCGGGACATATTTAGGTCATGTTGAGGTGAAATTATGCATGTGAGCTTACATAAAACAATATCACAATCGGCAAATCATACGTCAATTGATAGAGAAAGGATATCTCCGAGAGATATATTGCTTGAACATCACTTTATCATATTCTTCCTTTTGATGTTTCTCCTCGACTGAGGCACCACAACTCGTCCTAGAATATGAAGAGGAAGGCCCAAGAATAATGGCCTCATCAAAGGTCGGCAGCTCAGACTTAATGCTATAGTATAGCCCAAAAGCCCTAGAAGAGAATTTACGGCCATCTGCGATGTGCTTGCTGAATGCCTGCCCCGATAAAGATAAGAGTATGGGAGCACTTTGAATGCGTGAATCGGTAGCAAGCCATCTGTGAAGGGGGTAAGATAACATCACAGTTTACAGTTATTTAGGCGGACGCTGGAGGTAATAAGATCCAGATAGTCCTCCTCATTGCTTCATCTTCAAGTCTCTGAGTGGCCAGTTAAGATGATGGGTTACCAAGCAGAGTGATGAGCAAACCGTTCTAGATGCTAATTCCGAGACTTAGATATAGCTACCGCATCCTAAATTAGGCGAGCTTATTAAAACAGGGTCATAATCACTTAGTTACTGCCCGGTCCTTTTGATTACGCGATATGGATACTGTCCGGCAACGGCAACAGGAGATGAAAATCCTGCCCAAATCTTTGCTTGAACGACTTGTAGACGACTGCTGATTATGAGCAAAAGAAGATATAAGGCTAAATTGACATTATTTTTCTAGGTTAAACGGATGTTTTTTTTTTTTTTTTTTTTTTTTTTCATATAGAACACTAGATAAATACGCAACATATTGCGTGAATGAATTCCACTCTCATCATAAGATGCTGGCGCCCGACAGTGAAAACTTGGCACTTCAACCGCGAAGCGCTCCGAATATCAATTGCACTAGGCAAACTAAAGGCCAGTATCGTATAAGTTGAGGTATTATTGCCTTCCATATCATAAGATGCATTACCTGCAAATGGCAAGCCCGATCTCACCTTCATAGAGACCACACTTGAGTATACCAACCCTCTTTTCTGGATACGTGCATGAGGCCAGTTCCTGTTTACGCCGCTTGTAAAAAAAAGAATCTTTTTTTTTTTTTGTGATTGGGTGCAAGTAATTATTACTTCATTTGCTTGGGAAATGTCAAATTATCGACAGGCATCTGACACAATCACAACCCAATCCGCCGATCTCTTGAGTCATGAGAGCTTCGAGCTCGTATTCGCCGATAAGCTGATAAGAGATCGGACTTGATCTCCGACGACGGTCTTCTCTTTGCGATATGTCCATCATCTTAGGCAATAAATAAATATCGAGTGATTGATTTCTGATTAATGCCACCTTGTTGCCAGCTTTCGTAATCATACTGTTCTGTTTAAAAACTCTCGGAGTTCGTCTCCCGCAGCTCGTTTCCCCTCACATCAATTGATGCCAACTCCGCTTAGATCACCGAGGAGAACAGTTCAAGGAAGATGGCACCAAGAATCAAGCTGGGCATCTTAACCCCTTCATCAAACACCAGCCTTGAGCCGCTCACTCAGGCCATTGTCGCCTCCATGCCTCATGTCAGCGTACACTTCTCCCGGTTCACCGTGCTCAAGATCGGCCTTGCCAGCGACGCGCTGAACCAGTTCCAAACCGAGAAGATCCTCGCTGCTGCACAGCTCCTCGCCGATGCCGAGGTGGACATGATTGGCTGGAGCGGCACCTCGTCTGGCTGGCTGGGCTTCGATACCGATGAGAAGCTGTGCGAGGAAATCACGGCGGCTACGGGGATCCCGGCCACGACATCAGTGCTGGCGCTGAACAAGGCGATGGAGCTGTTTGGCTTGAGGGAGCTTGGTCTTGTGACGCCTTATACGGATGACGTACAGGAACAGATCATAAAAACGTACAAGACTATCAACATCGACTGCAGCAAGGAGCGACACGTAGGGCTTTCCAAGAATTCATCTTTCGCAAATATCGACGAGCCAACTCTTGACGAGATGGTGGCGGATGTGGCTTCAAAGAAGGTACAGGCTATTACCACTTTCTGCACCAACTTGAGAGCGGCACAGCGGGTGGCCTCCTGGGAGAAGGAGCACGGGATTCCTGTGTTCGATACCGTCGTGACAGTGATATGGGATATGCTTCGCCAGCTCAAGGTAGACATGAAGCCACTGGAGCAATCCTGGGGTATGCTGTGTGCTAAATCATAAAAATTCGACAAAAATCCACACATGCATAAAAACTCAACACAAGGCTATTAGCTTTATGAGAGTCATGCCATCGTGATGAAGTATTTCTCCATCGCCTCCACGTCTCTCGCTTCAGTAAATCACTTTAGAGCCCATCGGCTGTAAATCGCCTCTAGGTACATCATTCTCCAGCTATAGACAAGGCCATCTTGATTCGGAATCTTCAACATGTTTGTGGTCAAAGCACGTCGAGAGTCTTGCCAATGAGGGTGAACAACAAACAATAAGTCGACGATTTTCCCTCCGTATGCTTTCCTCCTTCGGCTGATATCACTGTTGATAAGAGTCACCTGTTTCGTACAAGGCTCTTCAATTTCCCAGATCATGAGCATTTGCCTCATGTATCAATATTTTAAGCATCAATTAGGAGCTACGGGTAAAGTCGTTTCCCATCTAACCCAAGGGCATAAACAAGAAAGGGATTTCTTTATTTCAAGTTTCAGTTTCCAGAAATTTTATAGAGCAGAGATTGGCAAATCCAAGCCAGGAAGACAATGGATATCCGGGAGAAGGGCACGCGCCTCTTCGGCCCTATTACCACATACAGCCTTCATGCTCCTTTCTCACGCCATATTCAAGTTTTTGCACCTAGTAAACATGCCACGCTACAACTGTAATGAAGCCCTTTCCCCCAGCTGAACTCCCTCTTTACGTGACCTCGTATACGCCGTGGAAAGATGCAAATCAATATTGGGGATGGCAACTCCGTGAATGAGCCCAGAACAAAAAATTTCACTTGTAGATAACAGGCTCGCGTCCCCTCAATTTTGTAGCCATTACCTAGCCTATCTGAGCGAGTCTGAACACATGGATGCTAAGGGGCCTCATGTCTCCGTATCTGGGGGTAGTGACAACTGTGTCAAAGTGGCTTATGTGGCACATGACGCCGAAACGGTTCGAGCTATTTGGATAAACCCAAAGTTTTGCCTTTTCTGAACTCGCTCGCATTCAGGCAATGAAGGAAACGAGCCCGGCAGCTTCTCCACTATGAAAAAGAAGTGAGTTTGGGAGTTGAGAACCCTTGTAGCTGTCCCAATACTTTCTTTGTAGATATGCAATGCCATTGATTGAAGCATCCTTGACATCTGTGTGTGAGCTCATATTGCCCCTCGGTAGTCACATTTTAGAAAATGCGTCCAGATCTGAACGCAGCAATGAGAATAAAAGCCTGTAACTAAATTAGACAACTCATACTTGTTGAAGGTGCATGTTGGGTTGTCAATTGCCATACGACCTAACTAAGAGGTGAGGCCAGGTGGCATCAAGATATCCCCATGAGCTGATGTTATTCATCGTGCAGCCCCAGCTGACATGATAACATGGATTTTGGAATTAGTAGACTACTCCTACCGTTAGATAAGTTGTAACTCCTGCCTCCATTATCGCCAATCGGTCACCTGACCCTGGTCCCCAATCCTTCATCGTACGCTTTCGAGATGCTTTTTCTTGATATCACTAGAGACTGGTGTTCTAACGGTGTGCGAGATGCAAACTCTCTGGTGATTAATTCCAAAGGCGAGTGTCAGTCAACTATGGTCATCCAAGCATGCTTGAGCTTCCACCGCCCATTGGTGATTTTTGATAGAGGATGTGACCAACGCAGTTGAGTCCAAGAATAACAGTGTTGGGTATGACAAGTTCATACTTCATTCTCGTCCTGTGTCAGTACGCCGACAACTCGTTCTTTAAGTCCCCGTTGACGCTTGATGCTATACCATCATCTACACATTGTCCGTACCTCCAAGCCCCCAGGCTCATGCCGTCTGTCGATCTGAAGTTATTAGCATACCCACGTATCACTTCCATTCTGTGACCTCTTATTCTCCATTGTTTGCTGTATTGACTCATTACTCACTTAGTGTTGTGACAATAAAACGGTCATTCATAAGGTGCTCATTCCTGCTCTTCACGTTTTTATTTTGTCATCTCTGCCGCTGACATCATCTTATGACGGTTCCTCAAACCTAGGGTTTCAGTTCCCACATACTCAACTTGCTAACATCAAACAAATCTTGATCTTTTTGGCAACTCTATTCAAGGCACTTCTGGCCAACCACCAAGATGTCACCATATGCCTACCCTACATGCTCAAGTCCGGGAAATCACATGCCACTCGTCATTCCACTTACCGACCGTCCCAGACCCTCTCCAATTTCACCCCAGACAGATCTCTTCATCATTCGGGCCCACAGATCTAGCTCCTGCATCTAAAACACCCATTCCTAGCTTGGATGGGGAAACCCCAGCCTAACGGAAGATCCGGGGCGCTCTGGCCCTGAACATCAGTCATGGAGCTCAGAATCCGACTAAGACCCAGCATGCCGATCGAGCCCAGCTTAAACCCAGTCGGATGCCATGATATCACCAGAGTTCGAAAATATCCAGGCCGGCGGTGAGCAGCCCAAACGTATAGTCCAGCACAGTAGCGTAATTGTGGGGCGCAGGGCTCTCTACCCGATTTATAAGGTATCACGGTCCCAGTGTTTTCAACCCTTCTGCTGACTGCGAGTGGTGCAAATTGTCTCACATCTTTCCAATTGGGTTTCGGGCTATAATAACGCCTTCCCTGCCTAGCCGCCAACGCTATTTGAAAGGAGGTCGATCGTCGACTTTCCGTTTGCTGCCCTCGGCGTCGCTGTATAACGTCGTCGTGTCATGGCGCTAACAATGAACGAGTGTCATTAAGCTAGGCCAGCCTAGCCCGCTTGCAATTTGCCGCACATTGGTCGCCTTGTGAGGCCCGGCTGACTTTGCCAAGGCTCGAAAAACGCCATTGGATTTGCCTATGTGGTATAAAAAAAGCAAGCAAAAGAGTCAAAACAAACGGCGAGCGCCAGCGACTTTTAGCCACGCTGGCAACAACGGCCCTACCGTATCGAACATGAAGGGAAGAAAGAGAAAGAAAAGAAAATCAGACAGAAAATGGCCAGATTATTGCCTAAATCTCATGTGCCGATCATCGCGTGAGGTCTGTAAAGAGGAGCCTCGCGCGCCGGAGCATTTGATCCGGGGAAATGCACAAGCGCGTCAAGGACGGGACCGACCAAGCGCCCGTTACGAGCCGCAAATTATATCCACGTCCATTGGAGTCTAGAACCTCGCGTCTTTCGCGCAGAATGGCCACAAATCGTACGGTTTTCCTTAGCTTTTCGCCCTTCTTTAATTTGCTTTCGTTCGAATGTACCTCACTGGTACCAGCCGTGAAATTCTATGTAACTCGCGATGGCACCTCATGCTCACCACTCGAGCACAATTGGCCGCTGGTGGCAGGGATCAATCAAACCCCCGTGTTTCTCTTGACCTTGGGTGGTGGTGGGGTCCAAGGATGCGAGATATCCGATGGCAAGGGCCCTGTCGGAGGGGCGTCTGCGGATTGATTTTGGGACGGTGCCAGAAACCTGGAAACCCTCGCCGCGCCCGAGATCGAACTTCTGCGATGATCCTCATAACCGCAGACCGTGGGCTCACCGGCCGCCCATTTGGTGAGACCGGTAGCTTGTCCTAATCCGGCAGTCAGATTTCCAAGAGCGGCCTGCGCATCTGCTTCTGGGAGGTGAGATGCCGTTTGAGTCCAAATACCAAGGAAATCGTAATTTCACGATTGGCATCTTTTGTGATGTGTAACTTAAAGCCTCAAGGCGACGAGAGAACCAACAAGATAACGAAGGAACCTTCGTGCCATCTGGTCAGCTGCAATATCGATGCATTGTTGAATGTTACCCAACCATCTCCCTAAGAGATTAATGTGGGCACAGGGGAGATGAGACAAGAATAGGCATAAATGGGCACTTTGTGCACAATTTGCATAGCAAACGGCATAAATCAGAAGAGAAAACAACGTAATGACTGTGTAGATATCTAATAACGACGTAGATGAGGAAACGGTTTATGCCTATGAAATGACTTTTTAGCAGCAAGCTTGAGTGTCGAAGGGGGATATGGTATGACTAAACAAAGTGTCCGCTGGAAAGCAAGCTCCAGTTAAACGTCTCTTTCTCTTGGCAACCTTTGAGGTCCAAATAAGGCGTTCTGAGGTTGACTTCCTCAATGTGTGATGAAGAGCGGTCAGGTATGCCAATCTCTATAATGATTCATTGAAGCTGTATCTTTATGTATGCAGTATTATCATCAATCATAATTAATACTCATATCTCATTGTCTCTTCAGGTCATAGTCGAGCAGGACGATACTCATCACGTCTGATGCTCGACCCAAACACATTCTGCGAACCCGGGTCGAGACAGAGAGAATAAATCAAATCATCTGTTTCGAATAAATTGTTGAATGCGAGTTGGCATCCGAATCAAAGGTGTTTGGCGTTCATTTCGTTGATATCCCCAATATGTCCCCTTTTCCCCTTCCCCCTTTTATTCCCTTTAACTGTGTTAAACTTTTCCGGTGTTACACTCGTTGCTCGTTGCCTCAAGGCCAGTATGGCCGCATCGGTGGGAACCCATGCACCATACCGGGACTCATGGGAGACCTCGGGGCAGTTGCGAACTGCCCCGTTCTTTGGTGGCGGTTGAACAACCCAATCAGGCGTTTCCCAATAACCGGCTCTATCTCCGTACCATCTCTCGCAATCTTGACTTCCCTATTCGAGTTCCAAGGGTTTCGCAATCCCCGCGCCTTGTAGAAAGGCATACGCGTGGTACATAGCCAGTCGAGCTTGAAGGGTTTGCCCCAGGTTTTCGTCTCTTCCTCCTCTTCTTCATTGCTCTTGGTACTTCCGGCATCACTTTCCTTATCCGATCCAATCTCTGATTCCGGCTGGTCCACTTGCCAAAATATTGTGCCGCGAGCTGAGTCGTCAATGATTTGACCCCGAGGGGCAAACTCGGTGGCTTCGGTGGGAATTTCCTTAGGCAAGTCGGTATCGTCGGTGGCCTGTGTTTGCGGAGCAAACTCGATCGCTGCGGCAGGGTCTTCATCCATCTCGGATAACATCCTGGCGTAGCCGAAATACTCTCCTGATTTGTTGGCTGAGAATATAAGGTATACGTTATCGGCGTTCTATTGAGAGGTAGAGAGAACAGAAAGTCAGTTTCCCGTTTCATGATCTTGAGACGAGCCAGAGGATGCTTGGAGGATGGGGAGACAGGGCAAACCTTGAACGCATCGTTTAGGCTCTGTTCATTGTGGGACTGGGTAGCCCAAATCCCAGTCTTGACGCTAAGCTCCAGATCGGCAACTGTGAGACTCTTCAAAATAAAAAACCTATCTTGTTGACCTCCATCTGTGGTGGTGCTTCCTTTTCGTAGACTCGAGGTGCTAGCGCTTGGACTGGGATCTGGCTCGGTTGGTGATATGACAGAAGAAGATTCGTCGCCGTCGACTGTTGAGGTCGGTTTAGGTGAGGGCAGCCCTTGTAAAGCGGGGGATCCGGATGTACTGTCGGCTACATTCTTCCTCAATCGGCTGACAAGTCTAACGGACTGAAACTTGGAATCATGGAGTTTCTGCTGAGCCTCCACACAAGTCGCATCGTCTTTGAAATTCGCAAAAGCACAGTTACTCTTAGAAATGAGAAACAGGGACTCCAACCCTGGAATCAAGCTGTACACATGGTTGACGAGGTTCATTAGATCTGTCTGTGGAGGAAGGTTTCCGATCCAAATGGCGTGTCCTATAGTTGATGTAAAATAGAGTCAGGAGGCCACAGGCATTCAGCAATGTGTAGATCTATGGGGTGGATCTTACCACTTTGTCGAGGCTTCCTCGGTGGGCCCCGAACAACAGTCGTGCTTGGTCGCCTTTCAGAAGCTTCTGTATTCAAGTAAGCCAACTATCAAGCTCTGCACTGTACCCGACTTCTGTGCACAAATCCCTGATCTCTCTTTCCATACCTAAATCTTGTTTAGTCGGTTGGGTTGGGACTCGACCTCCGTCGGAGGGAGACTTCATAAGCCGAGGATCGTTGGCGGTCGAAGGAGGAACGGGGGCAATGTACTGCCCAGACACCATTGCTCCTGGCATCCCTTGATTCGGAGCCGGGTAACGGTTAGGCTGGGCATAGTAATAAGCGTGATGCGGATGACCCATTACCACCTGGTTGGGATAGTAGGTCATATTCTGTATCGGTTGAGCTTGGGGCGAGATTTGTCGGTTATGATAATATTGCGCGACGGGAGGATGCTGAGGTTGTTGAGTATAATATTCCTGATGGGGCATGTTGTACGTAGGGCCGGGGCCATAATGAGCAATCTGTACCATTGGATGCATGACATGGGGCGACGTCGATTGGTGATAGGGCATTTGCCCTGGGTGGTGATGGTGATGATGATGTTCAACTCTTTGAACCTGGGGTAGAGTCGACATCATTGGCATCATATTGTACGTTCCTTGCCGTCCATGGGATGCCGCAGGAGACCTCATATCCTGCTGAGGTCCGGCATCTTGTCGAAAGGGAGGATGGGCCTGGACTGATGGCGGCGAAGATAAAGGTGCAGAGCTTGACGCTTGCTCTGTCGTCGAGGCGGGTTGGTTTCCTGATCCCTCCATGACCTTGATGTGAGGAGATTGGTCTTTGCTTGGATCGTGAAAGCACTTCAGGATTATGCTTCAGCTAGACAGAAGCAGGACAAAAAAAATGTTGAGCAGCCAAGCCCCAGGTGGCTGGCGGGCTGCTTTGGTCTTCTTGTCTCGTCAATACCCGACTTGCCACTGGGGAGGGTGCTGATTATGCGATGCTGGAAGCAGGTGGAACCTGGAGTACATACCGTGGTAAGAGGCTGTAGAACTCGTGACTCTATTACAAACCGTGCCCAATGACGAGAGAAAACTTGGCCCTATGTAAACCAGATTGATTTGGGGTGGACGGAGGCTAGGGGGGGGTGCGACAACAGAGTCCGCAGGACTGACGAGGAGTACAACCAAAAGCACAAACCCTCTTTTTTGTGTCCCTCGAATTCAGTGATCAGTGTACCCGGAGAATAGGGCTGCTTATTCCAGAAGCAGGTTACGCCCTGGCGGGGAGAGGGGAAGTGTCAAGGTGTCAAGTGGCGCCTGGGGGAGGGGGTGAACAGAGGAGCAAGATCAGCGACTGTACAGGCGTGCCGGAGCGAAAGAAAGGAATCGGCTTTTTTCACCCGTATCCCAATTTTCTTGACTCTTCTCCAGAAAGGGGATATTGGGGCCTGGTGTGTGAGTGTCAAGCTAAAGCAGGGAGCCCGTACAGGGGTCTAGAGCCCTATATATAACAAGGACTGCTAGAATCCAATCCCGATGTGCTTTCAGAGCCAAGATGGTCGCCGTCAAGGTCCTCAGTGGAACGAAAGTTCTCAAACGCAAGGCGGACGCGTACTTTGGTGAACAGAAATCCCGGGCTGGATCGAGCCAAGGAGAGAGGGGTGGCGTCGTCGACGGTGATAGGGCGGCTGGCAGGCGGCAGAGATGCAGTAGCTGCAGGATACTAGCAGATACTGTCTCCGGAGATGCGACAGCTCTGTAGTGGATCTTGTTTTCCCTCCAGATTCGGTACGCCGTTTAATACCAGGTCGTTCGGTAGTGGGGTGTTCACGGCCGCAAGGGAATACGCATTCGATTGTCGATCTCTAAAAGCTACTTGTTGCCCTAGGAGGCAAGAGGGAGCTAGTTGAGAATGAAAACTCGGAATAGAATGGGTTTATGGGGCTGCTTGTCCAAGAAATCCCCAATCGATGGGCCGAGACTAAGGAAAACGTCTTGTAGCCCGCTTGGATGGCTTATGGAAGTGCACCGGCGCCACGAGCTTAGGCCAGGGGTCCTTGACAATAGCCACAGGGTTAGATGTGAGGCAGAGACTGGTGTCTGGTGATGCAGATACCTTGGGAGAAGGCGGGCTTGCCCAAGGGCGAGAAACGAGGACGTCCAAGCTTCAATCCGGACTTGACGATCGACATCCGCTCCGCGACACGAGCGAACAGAGCCGTGGCTTGGAATTGGATGATAAGTGGAGAAGAGCTAACGAAAGCGTGCTATTTGGATTCGAATCTGGAGGCTTCAAACGAGGATGTTGGCGTTGAACCCCTGGGCTGGGACGTGGTTTTAATGGAGAGACGCCACGGATTGAACGGAGTAAACGAATGCAAGGCCAATGGCAAGAATATCCAATAGACGCGGCAAGCTTCGTATTTGGCGAGATATGTCGGGAATACAAAGACAAAATGCGACCCGACAGTAAGGATATGTCTAGAAGCTTCACGCAGCGGCGGTGCTGGGCAGAAGCCCTTGACGTCCGAGGCGGGCATTTACATGGAGACGCATCCAAACACAGACGCCCAGGTACCTTGATTTGGCGGGAAAGCAGCCGGACGGAGACACGAAGTGGGCATGACCTGTCAGCCTGCCCATTTCGCCACCGGCTGTTCAAGGGTTCGGTGGGCGGAAGAAGATCATGAAAGCGCCACTGACGGGGACAAGGTCAGTCTGGGACCCAAGCTTGGGGCCCAGGAAGGAGGGTCCGCCCTCGCTCTTTCTCGCAGCACGACGGACCGGCTCATCAGCCACATCACATGTACACTGGCACGTACGATGGCATGGATGGCTTGGAGAGGGCCATCCAATGGCTCGGAGCAGCGTGCTACTAACTGCTGGTAGCACGGGCTGGAGCATACGCGCCCCTGAGCCTCCCAACCAACCATCCCAGGGCCTAGCACGTCCGCCTTGACGACTTTAATCCCACTACCAAGCCGCGGGTGTTGAGTAAAACTGGGCCGCGCGGTGTATACCATTGCAGGCAGACACCTGTGGTCGTACATCTACACAGATACACAAGCTTTAAACCCGGTCGCTCGCTTGGGCATGGCGGGGAGATGAGCAAGGGGGTGTTGCTGTATCATTATAGTGTGGGATATAGCCACTTAAGGGAGCAGCAGGACCAAAAGAGCTGGACGGTGATACCCGTGTGGAGCCTGCGAGCACGAGCATGGAGGCAGTTGACAGGCTGCAATTGCCATAACACCACCAGCATCAATTGACTGCCCGTCATTTGACAACAAGAGCTCCCGAACCCCAGAAGCTTCTAGGGACCGGGCAATGGTTGCGGTAGCAGCAGAGTTTCCCAGCCCTGGTCACTTGGACACTTGAACCCGGTCAGTCCACTAACCGTCCAACCCTTGCTGTGATACCTGCCTGCGATTCGGCAGGTACGTCCATGCACATGCTCGGCCTGCATGTGTTGAGCCACAGCCCATTCCACGGGATCAGTCAGCAGACGTTGCCACTGACTGGAGCAAACGGTCCTCGCCATCCACCGACGAACCCAACTCAATCGCCGGCTTGGGTTCCATCACTCGGTCTCGGGTTTGTCTGCGAGGTCTGGCGGCCAGGTCTGCACACCGGCCCTTCAGCCACCGAACACGTCTGCGTGCACACAAACTAGGTAGTGCGATGGGTATGATGCTGACCAGCAGCGGTGGTGGTGGTGGTGGGAGATAGGGTGGCCCCGAGAGGGGGCGTGAACTGGACGGGGGGGGGCGAGGGGAGGGACCCTGATTCCTGATCGGCATAATGCTAAGCTTGCGCGAGGGGGCTTTAAAAAATTACCCATCCTCTGACGATCGAGGATTGACGAATATATCGATACACTACCAGACACCGTTATATTTCGGGGGGGTGGACATCCTGTCCCCATTCAATACGTCATCGCCGCCGCCTTCCTTTCACGAAGCCTTCAAAGTTTTCGTCTTTCCAGAGGCTTCTCCCAGCGCTCGAGCTGTCGCGTGCTACATGGTCTTATAGGGGACTCTCGGCCATTGCATTGGATTGAGCCTAGGCTCCGCTCCCAGTCAATTCGTCGTCTCACCACTTCACCTCACCTCACCTTACCTTACCTCGCCATTGCCCTCGTGTGATCTCGCATTTTTCTCGCCCACCGAACCCAAGCTACTGGTTCCGGTCCGGCTGGCTCAGGGCACTAGCCGCCTACCTAGCTCTTCGCCATCCATCGATACGCCGTTAGTTAGTTGGCTGGCTCGGCTCTTGCACCACGGCAATTACTGGGACGAGCGGAGCACAAACGCTGGCTACTGTAGCTAACACTTGCCCGATGAAGGTTCCCCGCTGTATTATGACTTAATTGAGTTTCGAGGGGTGAGGTCTTGGGTGCTCCCCAATCGGTGCGTGATTCATATCCGCATAGGGACGCTCAGACTCCATTGGCGACGGCGTTCATCCATACCCGTCGTTCATCCGTCTGCCGATCACCTCTGCTCTTACTGCCGGCGGAGGCCCCTGGATGGATGGAAGCGCAATGTATGGCCGGACGGTGGCCGGACAGAGACCGGCTGATCCAAGCGCAGGGTGTCTCGGTAATAGTTGACCGTTTTTCCTTTTTCCACGCCTACACGCGCGAATCAAATGCCGCCTCTGTCATTGCGATCTCGCCTCGACAGGGCCAGCGTCGCTTATGGCTCCAGGCACAGAATATGCAGCCATGTGGCCCCAGATCCCAATTTTCAGGGCAAAAAGCAGTATCTGGACAAGTAAGTACAGGGACGATATTCAGGGGTCCCTAGGCCTCTCCTACAGCTATGATATCATGCCTTGAGGCCGCCGGCATGCGTGCATACCCAGGCGCTCGGGACCGACTGTAGTAGACTCATGACAGGTAAGTCTATGTTGAGATGGCGTATTGGCGCTTGCACTCATGTCATTTACAGGCACTTCTAGACGCTAACCGCGTCTACGGAGCCGAAAAGACTCGGGCTTCAAGTATGCACTTCCGGTAGGACAATGTGGTGCCTTGGCACATTGGTCCTTGGCCCTCCCTCTCCACGGATGTTACCGAATTTAGAGTTGCCATATTCGTCCAAGCAGGCCTAGTTTATTAATCCCCTTGGGGCTGCCTCCCAATCACAGTCGTTTCGTACAGCTTTCTGAGACAAACAGGGCAAGCAGCTGAGGGAGATGAACATCTCCAGCTTCCTAGGCAGGCAAGTTTTTGCATCGAAATGCTCGCGTGCATATGTAACATTACGTATGTGTCGAAAAGATCCTAGGTTGCGTCCAGATATGCAGATCCACAGGGAACGACTTGCGTTGTGTCGACAATCGCTGGTGGAGTTGTATAACGCGCACGTCCGTTAGTGAGACAAAAACCCTACCATATATTCGGATATACTAACCCGCCATTAAGAAAACACCAACGCCTGGCTAGCTGGAATCAAAGGCCCTAGTCATGATGTCTGGAGATTTCGTCCAGGAACTCTCAGTGGGGCAGCCGTGGCCTGGGTGGTCTAGACCGCACGCTCCGATGGGAAATTGGCACAGGCATTTCTTCTCAGACGTGAGACTTCATAGAGCCTGCAATTACCCTAACGTCCATGCATACATGCTGGTACTGCGTGCGTTGACCTCGAGGTACGTCGCAAACCCAAACCATGAACCCCACAACCACGTCGTACTATTCACTGCTACGGCCGAAATGCCTTTGGGTACAACACGAACACCTGCAGGGTACATGGTAGAGGCTACCCAGGCAGGGATAGGGATAGGTCGCCTTACGGATGCTAGTCCTTGCTGAACTAGCACATCATCCGACGACTAGTATTGCTTTACTGCGTATATTTGCAGATATCTCTGATTCTTCACGCCACACCGCCGTGCTCCCAAAGCCGCTGGGAGCGCTTAGCAGCTCGCTATGGATGTACGTGTATTGGAATTGGTAAGTTAAGTCTGAAACCCCGGCCTTGGATCCTGGTGCTACACAGCAACCATCACCCCTCCCTTCTCCCCTCCCCATGATGGGCCCTGATCCCCACCCACCATGGCGGGACCCCAGCTCTGCTATGACGACATTGTCCCTTTGGCGACAACCTCAGCTCACGAGCCCGCTTCCAGTCCGCACATTTCGGATGTCTTATTTTTGGAGTTTTCCAGATGGGTTTTCCAGATGGAATTGGGAAATGAGGTGGCCGATTCCGATGCCATCTCCAGGTGTTCCCCCGGGCCCGCCTTTGGGCCATTGGGCGTCATCGTCGTCATCACTCAGGTCCCTTTCCTTGGTGTACATGTCCACCTTCACATCTTCAAATGACCTCATCCAGAGTCGAGTCTCTCGCAGACGGTTCAATCCTTCATGTGCGGGCCCTCCTCTAACACACTAGACTGAATTGCATTCCTCAGAGCAATGAATTGGCCATGTCATCGTCGTCTGAAGCATGACACACGCCTGACGACTTGGATTGATGCCCCTTGATGATGATGATGCTGCGGGCGATCGGTTTTGACGATTTTGCAGTCGCGGGTGCCATTATCACTTCGCACGAAAGGAAAAAAGAGCTAAAAAGAGCTAGGTCATAATGTCGTAGTCGAACCTCGAGCAGCGGAGTGATGAAGAAGAAAAACACCCAAGGATCAAAATCACGCCCTTCCGTTCCTACCTTGGACCAGCCCAGCGATTTGGAATTTGTCCACGGCTTCCGGTCTTACACTTTGGCCCAGTTACATCAAAGGTAATACCCAATGCATTAGACCTTGATAAGAAGTCGTATTTGCCACTCCGGGAAGGCTTATACAGACTCTTTGGGCTCTGGTTCCACCAGCCCAGACCATACACTGCAATGCATGGCAAAATGGTGACATTCTGTGGTGATATCGGTTGCAGTCAGCAGTCAGCCACCACGACGGGAGCGACACGTCAAGCCACACTGCCACAACGTTATCGCAGTACTTCCCAGAGAGATAATTGAAGATATTACCCTCAGTGCCCGTAGTCCGGGTTGCCCCGGTTCTAGATTGCGAGTCTCTCGCCTCCCGGTGGTCTGCTCAGAGCGGGCCCAAGGTGAGTCTTGAAGAGATGATACGATTGCTCGGGCAGAGATGAATGTGAGTAGTCTCTCAAGGGCAGAGACACACTGCCCAGACGCAAGACTAGCTCGACATGTCCCTGGATGATCCCTCCTCGTAGTGTGGCGAAAATCTCCTAAACTGGCCAGCCTCACTGACGACGCCCGCTTGGCCCGTCAGGCAAGCCACATCAACCCTTTTAGCTCGGCGTAGGCGCACCGCGCCGTGTAACCCTATTGAGGGGCTTTCGCTTACCAGTGCTGCTTGGTTCCGGCATCGATCTGCGGCTTGCCACAGGACGTCCAACCGTTGCAGACGACGGACCGGCATGATTGGGTTTGTTGCCTGATGGGGCAGCCAATATGCATCGCTCCCCTCTTGGAGAAGATGGATCGGCGTTGATGGTGCGCGCTTGAGCCGTTTGAAAGCGCCTCCTTTATGCTAGATGCTACGGATGCAGGAGACACCCGATCACACAAAGCTCTTGGCGCTGGGTAAGGCGCCGAGCTGGGGAAGGGGAAAAAGCAATTTAGCATTTTCATGCTCTCAACGTTGGGTATCAACAACGTCGTCCCGAGCCTTTTCGGGAAAAAGGAATTAGCATTGGGGAGACTCCTCCCTACTTTTCAGCTTCGTGAAATTGCAACATCTCCCTAGCCACTTAGAGGAGCAGGATCAGGGGGTAGCGATATCTAGAGCCAAATCCAGGGCCGTCTCGAGGTAGCGGGATTCGTATTCGGGCGTCTTTGTCGTGGAACTTGTGTGCTCGTTGATGGAGCCCGAAGAAAGCTGGGAGGGACTCCCTGTAGGAAGTGCGAGTTTCACGCCACAAGGTGTTGGCTTTTCCCCTCAAAGAGAGTCATGTCAGAGAACTTACCAGCTGGGGGATGGACGTCTCCCCCGAACTTTGTGATTTGACAGGTGCGGCAGGAACCTAGGCCTTCCATATACTCGGAGGGCCATCAGTCTTCTGACACTTTGCACCTGTGGGATCCTTCATTCGATGATTCAAGGCATATTCAAGGACACGGAGTAAGCGAAGTATCAAGTTGGAAGGGAGCAATGGATGGATTGTAAGTTTCATTCGTGATGAGAATTCTTCTCAAAATTTATCATTATACACACCCACTCGCCCAAGTCCTGTTTTTCACTTTTTAATCCTTCTTCAAGGGCAGGAACTTCTCTTCGATACCATCCTTTGTCAGAATCAACAATTGTAGGCTGTCACCGACCTCGATGTGACGCTCAGCCGCACCGTCAAAGGCATCCTTCACAACCGTCTCGACCTCATTGAGGAGGAGGGGTCGGCGCTCACGTTCCTGCAGGTTGTGACCCACGCCGCTTCCAGGTGCGTACTGGTTCTTGAAGTTGACCTGGTTGTCCAGGAAGGGCATGATCAGACTTCCTGCGGCACCGGCAGCTCGGCATGTCTCCCTCTCGTAGCTACCAACGGGGTCGTAAGAGTAGACCACACCCTTGCCCTCCTCATCGATCCCGCCCAACATAGCATGGACGTAGTAGGGGAAGAACCGCTTGCCGTATAGGATGGTCGACAGGCGCTTGGCACATGCGTTGGCGGACATGGCCTTGCCATGGCGGTAGCGGTAGATCTTGCAGATGGTGTCGAGCTGGTCACGGAGGGCATTTCCGTCAGCGGCGAAGCCACATACGGAGAGAACGATGGTAGCATCGTGCTGGTCGGCAGTGGTGCCGCCAATCTTGAACAGCTTAGGCTCCATGCGAGAGTTGATGCTGTAACCGGAGGTGTGTCGGGTATCGCCCGCCATTACGGTGAAGTCGGCTCCGGAGATGGCCAGGGTGCTTCCGCCATTGTCGGTGTATCTAAAGTGATTCTTGTAAGCCGTATGTCCTTCAATACTACCACGTCTCGGCCACTCACGGGTAGAAGCGATGCTCTCGAAAGTCGTTGGTCTTGGGAGCATCGGTGGTTGCGTAGTGGGGCCCATTCATCAACGGGTTCTGGCTGAACATGGCTGCCATCTTTGCAATATGACCGGGCGGACCGTCTCCTAGTGATGTGCTGAAGCTCGAGAGGTGTTTTGAATCTTTCGGTGGACGATGGTTGGGATGCGTTGACGATGATATCGGAGGTGGAGTTGGGAAGCTTGCCTGGGTAGTTCAATGAGCTGGGGTTGCACGCGTACAGCTTGGAGCCTTGAGCTTGACTGAGGTGGAGGATGACTAAGCATGTTGATGTTGCATCAGCAATAGCTCCCCTGAATCTTGGAAATCGTCGTCATTTCAGGCTGTCCAACGTGTCAGTCCCAGGCAATACGGTCCTGGTCAATAGAAAAAAAAAATCGAATCGTCTTTTCCATCGGTTGCTTCCGCTTCATGCCATAGCAGAGAGGCATTGCACGCAGCCATGTCGTACGACATTCGCGCCAGGGCGCTCCAGAAGATAGCTTCGCTATCTGCGACCGCTCCTTCGCCGCTGGACAGATCCGACCTCGACCGTCTATGCAGAGCTTGTCACACAGGCGCAAAGAGCAGAGAATATACCAATGGCGCGGGGTCCACCACATCCGTGGGGAAGATTCCCATGGTGCGTTATCCCCGACAGGTTCTCGATATCGTGGTAAAATCGAAAGGCTGACCGTGATAGACCATTCGCGAATTCGAGGTCCTGTTAGCGCTATGCAAGACGTCACCAAATATACAGTCGGCCCAGAGCGCCCAGAGGCTTTCATATCAACTGAAGCCATACATGCAAGAGGCCCCGTTCCAAACTTTCGTCCCGTCGCCCTTCTTCCGAAAAGTCGATCCGTCGCCCACCGAGGTTCTCACGTTCCACGTTACAGGGGCATTGCTCGCTCTCGGACTGAACTACACGGATCTGCAAGATGGGGTTTCTGACTGCATCTCTGGTTTTCTTCAGACCTGCTCTAAGGTCACTGATGGTGTTCTTGCTCCTCGACTTGGTGGCGGTGACAACTTTCATCTATCAGATGCCATTCGCACGACGACCGTGGTGCTCGCCCTTCTCGGTTTCATGGACGCGGTGTCTGCGCAAGCCGACTTTTGGAGACCAGCTGGACGACTACACCTCGCGGAGAAGATCCGTACTCTAATCTCAGAGCCCTTTCTTGTTGCCGTTGAGACGGCACTGTCCACGATTCGCAATTCCGAGAGTCAGGATCGGGAAGTCAAGGAATGGAGACGGCTTATCCGCCACTATGCATACCTCGACCGCCCCCTGGGAGCAATGCTCCTTCAGCGGACCTTTATGTGGCTCGTTGTCTCAAGCACATCTCTTATGATAGCCGATGGGCCAGCTCTTAGGGACAACCATATCCTCGACCTCCTCATGGCGGACTCGGAGAATTTGGCTCTGGGTTCTTTCAAGCATCGAGAGGAAGATTTCAGCTCCATTGAGGTGTATGCTGCCCTCGCGACAGAGCAGATTAACAGCGTCGAGGCCGACTCTGACTTTGTTGTTCGTATTGGGACTTCCTCTCAGCAAACTCTGGCGTATGGTGTCAAGTCCGCCGCTCTCATCGCGTACTTGAACTGCTCGCTGCTTAATGAGGATGCGGCGGATGTTGAGACTCTGCTTACATGGCTCCAAGAGACCCTGGAAGATCCATTCCAGATGGCGGACGATACCCTTGCCCCCGTAGTGTTGAAGTCGCTTGCACTTGTGTGTCAAATTTCGCCCTCCTCGGCATCCGCCGTCAGCAGGATCCTTCCACGTTTCCTTGTGCAGAGTGCCCCCCACGGAACCGCAGTTGGGATCGCATCGAAGAGCTTGGCCTTTGTGCTCAAACTACTGTCCAAGGATGCTGTAATCAGCACTCTCTACACCCTTGGAAATGTCCTCAGCCCTGAAGCCGAGACCTCTCTCATTAATGGCCAGGCTAATGGCAATACATCTAATGAAGCGGGCCTCAATGTCATGTACGCGAACCGCCGCTCAGTGGCCAGCGCCATTTCGCTGCGGGCCGATGGCGAGGAGCCTGGTGTTGTATACGAGAACGTGGTCCAAGCCATTTGTGGGATTGCCACGGCCTGCCAGGACGAAAAGATTACGGCTCTAGCACAGTCGATGCTTCTACAAAAGCTCGAGAAAGTCAGTGCCGTCGTTGATGCCCAGATCATCGCCGGAGCTGGAAGCTTGGCCTTGAGTGGTGGTCAGCTGGAGTTCCGCTCACTTCTCAAAATGTATGCGAGAATGTCTCATGTAGGGGTGACAAACAAGGATGACTCCATCCTCGGTGCAGTAAGTATTCCTTCACCTGTAGCATTGCTTAATCTCGACTTACAGATCGACACAGGTTATGAAAGCTCGCACTCATATTTCAGCCAACCTGGACCGAGGTTCGGCTCTTTTTGACATTTACTTAGAGCACATCCTGGAGACCATCATCTCTCTTGGAGATGTTCCTTCCTCGACGCACACTAAAGAGGCAGATCTTCAGCTGGCTGCCTTGGAAATCGCTGAACTCCTTCGCCCGCTGGCTGTCTTGATGTCTACCAACGACTTCGCAGCCGAGCCTATTGAAAGCGATGAGTTCACGCAGCTGCTTCGAGATGCGTGGTTCAACATCGTCGTCCATGGGTTCACAACAGCGACGGAGCGGGGCAAGAAATACATCAACGAGCTTAGGGTGATCGCTGTTCAGTCCCCACCTCTCGTCGCAGAAAAGAGAAGCGAACAGGTTGAAAGTGATATTGAGCTCAATACTGTGTTGAGGCGTGGCAACAGCAATGAGCGAGAGGCTCTTCAGAAGAAGCTTCTGAGCGAGTTGATCCCCACCAAGGCTGGTGATATCAAGGGTCTGAGCTACCGAAAGGTCATCTTTTTGCAGGCTGCGTACCTGGTGGAAAGCCTCAGAGCCGACGGCGGCGACTGCACCAAGGTTCTCTCTTACTTCCTTGAGCCTAGTATGCGCAAGGCGGAAGTCAGCAGTACCATGGAGGGCATTGCAGCCGCTGTCGTCGACAAGTATCTGAGAAGAACACTTGCGGGCACGGATCCGGCTTTCTCAGCTCAATATGCTGCGAAGCAGCTTGCCTCTATTTTCTGCATTTGCTGTCATCGCATTGAGAGAATTCAACAAGCTGCGTTCGCATGTGCTGACCGGATTATCCGGGATGTGCCCTCTGCGCTGTGCAGCCGAACTTCCCTGTTCGCCCTTCTCGAACTCTTGTCCTTGATGTGGACTGGGTGTTTGGAAGCCGAGACTGATATCTACACTCCGCGGGCAACATTCAGCTCTGAGCTTGGCAATGTAACTGTTGAGCTCTCCGATGACTATGACTTCCGCCGCTGGACCTTGGATATTCTCAACAGAAAGGCCAAGACTTGGGTAAACACCGCTATCAGCCTGGCTCCCCTTGATGTCAAAGGACTTCTTCAAACCTACCTCTCGGAGTTCAATGATGATGGTGCGTATGGCCATATCTCCCTTGGAAGGTCATTCGCTCTTGAGCTCGGCTCTGTGATTCCATCCACAGACCAGCGACTTCAATCCCTCGAGCGGGTCGGAGACTGCGATATCAACACTGCCTCGGACCTGATTGCGCAATATACCACTCGACAGGAATACCGATATGGAGAAATTCTTCCCGATCGTGCCAGTGATCTGGTCAATTACATGCACTTGACTAGCCGCAAAACGTCTGAGGCGCAGTCACCTCTGAATGAGAGTGCAAATGCTTCCACGGCGCTGGCTCATGTGGAAGCCAGAATTCTCAGCAAGAAGTCGACGTCTTTGAATGAAGTCCGAGACATTTTGCGAAGAGCGGCAGCTTTGCTGTGTCGCAGCCAAGTCGACGAGTCTGCAATTGCTCGCTATCTCGTCAGCATTCCTTTTGCCTTGTTCACTAAGCAGTCCATTAAACTTGGTGTGTCTCTCTGGCTTGGTGTCATAAACGAAAATCCTCGGCTAGAGTCCAAGCTTGTCAACGAGATTGCACAGCAGTGGGAGTTCAGCATCGCCCGAAAGCTAGGATTGTTCCACCCATCCTTGACCCATCCAGACCCTTTCTTCCTTAAAGAGGAGTTTGCTCCCAGTGATTTGGAAGCGCTTGGAAAGCGAAAGCAGCTGGTTCATGACCTGCTGTCACCACACACCCGTCTCTTGCAATTCTTCGGGAGTCATTTCAACGCAACTCGTCTCAGCAGTGTTGATACCCGCCGTGTTTTCCTCCGCATGCTAGACTTAACACTCGACGCTATGAAGAATGCATCCCCTCACCCAATGGCCAGAGAGCTTCGGTTCCTCGTCATTCTCTACGCACTAAGGATGCTACGTGCCAGCACCATGATTGGGGCTACCGCACAATGGAGACTGAAGGAGAAGATCTTGTCTGCTGGGTTAAGCTGGTTTAGGCACTCCCCCAAGTGGTCATTTGGTAGCAACAGGCTTCAATTGAAGACTGAGATACGCCTTATCACGGACGTCCTGGCTGCCCTTAAGGCGATCAGCTTCATCGGTGGACAGACCGTCGGGAACCTAAAGTCGCTCCAGCCAAAGGAGCAGCTCCTTCAGCTGCTTCTCGAAAATGAACAGTCACGATTGGCCGTTTGGATTAACCCTCTCAACGTGCCTGGAGGTCACAGCCACGTTCATAGCGCAGCGAAAGCCGCCACAGAGGCAACACTTTGCTCCTTAGTTCGAACAGCCTGGTGGCTCGATCCGGCCATTGCCATTGAGCTTGCCACGAGATTCTCCTTCCCTCGACTGCACAGAGATATCCGCTTCCTACTCCTCACCATGCCAGAGAGAGCAATTTCAGAGCCAGAAGCTCTACCAATTGTGTACGACGGACATCTGCCCGGTGATTGCAGCTCACAGTTGAAGGTAAGCCTATCCTTTAATCTCTTGTAATCTACTCTTGAATTTGAAAATTAACCGTTTGTAGTATCTCTTATTCTGGGAGCCTGTCAATCCTGTGACAGCTGTCACCATGTTCTTGCCCGCCTACAAGGACCATCCACTAGTCATCCAATATGCCATGAGGGCGCTTGAGTCTCATTCTACAGATGTGACCTTCTTCTACGTTCCTCAGATTGTTCAGACACTGCGATATGATGCTCTGGGATATGTTGAGCGCTATATCATCGAAACCGCGCAATTCTCCCAGCTGTTTGCTCACCAGATTATCTGGAACATGAAGGCCAACTCCTATAAGGATGATGATGCGCAAATCCCTGATGAGATCAAGCCAACTCTAGATCGTGTCATGAGCAAGATGGTTGGAAGTTTTGCAGCTGAAGACCGAGATTTTTACGAACGAGAATTCTCCTTCTTCGATGAGGTCACGAACATCTCTGGCAAGCTCAAGCCCATCCGAGATCGCCCCAAGGATGAGAAAAAGCAGAAGATCGAGGAAGAACTTCGAAAGATCAAGGTTGAGGTCGGGGTGTATCTGCCCAGTAATCCGGATGGTGTTGTCATTGGTATCGACCGCAAATCTGGAAAGCCACTGCAGAGCCATGCCAAATGCCCCTTTATGGCAACATTCAGGATCAAGAAGAACAAACCCGGTCTCCTTGAAAGCGAGGTAATGATCGAGGAGACCAAAGTGTCCGAGAAAGAAGGCCACGAGAGCAACGGCACCCTGGATAACACCATTGAGGTGTGGCAGTCTGCCATCTTCAAGGTTGGAGATGACTGTCGCCAGGATGTTTTGGCATTGCAGATGATCGCTGCCTTCCGTGGAATCTTCCACAATGTTGGTCTCGATGTCTACGTCTTCCCTTACAGGGTCACTGCTACAGCTCCTGGTTGCGGTGTGATTGATGTGTTACCTCACTCGATTTCCCGAGACATGCTCGGCAGAGAGGCAGTCAACAAGTTGTATGACTACTTCATTTCCAAGTATGGAAACGAGGATTCCTTGCGGTTCCAAGAAGCCCGAAGCAACTTTGTCAAGTCCATGGCGGCATACTCCATCATCTCCTTCCTGCTGCAGTTCAAGGATCGACACAACGGCAACATCATGATCGACGACGCCGGCCACCTTCTCCACATTGACTTTGGTTTCTGCTTCGACATTGCCCCCGGAGGCATCAAATTCGAGCGCGCCCCTTTCAAGCTCACGCAGGAGATGCTGGCTGTCATGGGAGGCTCGACCGACCACCAGAGCTTCAAGTGGTTCGAGGAACTCTGCGTCAAGGCCTTCCTTGCAAGCCGGCAGTACTGCGAGAAGCTCTGCCAGATGGTGCAGCTCATGATGGACAGCGGTCTGCCCTGCTTCAAGCCCGAGACGGTCAAGAACTTCCGATCCAGGTTCGTTCTCGAGAAGACGGAGCGCGAGGCGGCCGATTACGTCAAGGACCTCATCAAGAGGAGTTACTCCAGCTACAGCACGGGTGTTTACGATCAGTTCCAGCTGATCACCAACGGTATTCCGTATTAATAGTCACGGCCTTTGCTTCAGTGAGCAATTCTAATGTTTCCTCTATGGTTTTATATATATCTGCCCTTGTTTTCTGGCCTGTTGTTGGTCGTTTTGTGATCCCAAATAGATAGCTACTTTAATATACCTTGTGATATACTCAGGAGACGAGCTGATGGATGATCACATGAATAATCTTAGAAACACCTCGACTTGCTTCGAATTGCTGCACAGGGAAGCTTCTGTGTTCATAACTTTCACGTGATTTCCTATTGCCTAGCTGAGTATCTCCACACGCACCAAGAATGAATCCAATCATTCCATCACGACCAGGCTCGCAAGATCAGTACCTTCAAAGGCAGGTTCACAAGCGGTTATACCTGTTGATAGGGGCCTTGCTGAATCCTATCGCGTTACTGGAGGTGCACCATTACTAGAATTTGCTGAACTGCTTGATCGCCAGCTACGGCAAGGAGAAGGAGATATCATCATTCAGGTCGAGGATTCATGAAGTATTGCTGCTGTTATTGCTCGAGCCCGCTGCTAAATAGCTGCTCGCAATGTATCCAAAATACACATGTTGTTACAAACCCAAAGAAACCAAGAAGAAATACACGCTATGTCTATAAACCCTGACAGATGATAACATTGGAAAAGGAAAATGTGTTTTGATTGTGTTGGGGCAGAACCCTTTCGTGTTTTACCACATCGTACTCAGGAGGTTAAAGATTGGTTTTTGATCAACCGGAACCGGGCCAGTTTATAAAAAAAACCTGGGTTAATTGGTGGGTGACATGTCTATGCTTGCGCGCTTGTCAAACTAGAGTCTTAGCTGCAACTTCACTCGGCGCTCTGCCTGAGCATGTGGGTAGGGGCGTTGTAGGTCAGGTAGTCCACGTGCACAAAGGCCCTGTCCACAATAGGGACAGACTCGAGGAAGTATGTCAACACTTCGCTGAGATCGTGGCTGTCCTTGAGGGGCATGTTGGCCGGGAGGACGATGTCAACTTCGACAACAAGCTTGTCGCCCGCGTGGTAAGCGCGAAGGTTCTGAATGCGGCGGATGGTGGTGGCAAAGCGCATAGTGAGATACAGGAGTAGATTACGCTCGTCTGGCTCGGCAGAGAGACCGCTCAGGTTCCGAATGTGGTGGATAGTGGTTTGCGACCACTGAAAGACGACATAGAGAGAGAGCAGAAGACCACCGACTGCATCGAGCCACCAGATTTGCGCGATGGAACCAACTATAAAGAGCACGCGGATTAGCATCACAGTATTTAGTCAACTCGTGGGATATATCACTTACTGATAGGGAAGAGAATGGAGCCCGTGTTGAAGACAACATCAGTCTTACAATCTTCAGCCCTAATTACATAGTCAGCTTGAGTTGGTGATGTGAGTTTTCAGGGTAGCAAGGATGAACTAACAGGGCTTGGACACTCGAATTCTTGACCAAACGGCACCAAATCCAAACAAGGCCCTTGATGATGACTGTACCAACCATAATTGAAAGTGCTGGAATGCCGAGTTCCAGGACTTCATGGGCTGGGTCAGCCAGGCGCTCAATACATTGCATTCCGACCTGGACGAAACAAGTGATCATGATGACTGAAAATACAAGCACGCCCACGGGCTCAAGCCTTCGTCGACCGATGGGATAGTTATGCTGGTCCTTCTGGCTCACAGAAACGAGATGTGTTGTGATCCAGACAATAGCTGTGCTCAAGAAATCGAGAGCTGCGTCAACAAGACTGGCCAGGACGGACATGGAGGGGACGGAGAAAACGACGGCGAGCTTTCCGGCGAGCAGGACGCCATTGGCGATGAAGTTGACCCAGATGGCAAGTGTGACGATGGGGCTGTCACTGTCGAGCTCAGCATCTTCGAGCCATGGCAGTCTAGGCTTGGGGCCGGATCCATCGGATAGGAGAGGCGATGCAACTCCGGGCTCCTCTTCGTCCTCATTGTCAGAGTCGTGGTGGGCTGCTAGAAGGGGCATCTCCTCTGAAGAACGGAAGATATCCTTCGGCGTGCGCTTCTGAGGCAGACTTTGCGGAGTTGTGGCACCATTCGATTTCACATTGGAGTCTGTAGCTCCGTACGATCCATTTGCGCTCTTGCTATTCGTGGCTTGGGATGGCTCAGATGCAGTGTCTGCGCTCTCCGAGCCTTGTGGCTCATCTTCCATGATAGTGCTTGGGATATGCACGGGACGGAAAGCCGAAGCCTCTAGCTCGGCGGAATATTCATTGAGGAGCTCGTGAGGGATCGTGGAGTCGAGCAGGCAGTCGATATACATGTACTGTTGGATAAGATCGTTCGTCCGCTCGTAGTACTGGCGTCTAAGACATCGTCAGTCCCTCTGCCGCGCCCTGTTTCAGCTTCTTATGCAACATACATTGGCTTCGACATTGTCTTCAATTCGTCCTGATTTTTCCAATATTTCTCCCATCGATACCTCGGGTTGCTCTTGCCGATGAGGCTCATGCTCCTAGCTTGCGATCCGCATAGGATCTGGCTGAGGCGCTGCTCATTAGCTAGCAGCCGCGTGATGTCATCGTCCTGCTCAGAATACCAGCTGGATCGAGGGCCGGACTCTTCGTCATTTCCCTGCGCGCGAAATTTGCTGGAGAGGCTCGAATTGGAGCGGCTCCTGATGATGGACTGCAACGCGCCGCTGCGCGTGGGGAGCGCAAACGGAGAAGCGTCATCTTGATGGTGATGGACAAACGAGTGATGGCGAGGCGTCCGCACCTCCGGAGAGCTCATGATGGGCTTGACACCGGATGGGAAAACTGATGGCTCAGCACCTCGAGAATTGAAAGAATGGATGGAGGCAACCTCTTGCCTTGTCAGACGAGGCTTAGCGGAGGCTTAAAAAAACCATGGCTTTGCTCTACAGAGGGTCCGCTGCGGCGAACGAGGCTACCAACACTTGCCTCATTGGCTGCGCTAGCCCACATGCCCGTCTAATTATTACACACAGATGCAATCTTATCGCTTGCTAGCCGAGACTAAAAAAAAAGGAGATATGGCATCTTATCGATCAGGATGCCATCTGGATCTTGAGATGGGCACTCTTTGGAGTCCCACGAGCCGCCAAACCGTAGCACTCGAAAAAAGTTGCATGCTAGACATGCATGTGAGAACTACGTAGCATTTAATGACAGCCAAACGCGTGATACATCGAATTGTACCACCTGCCGGGTTTAATGCAGGCCATGGGTGCTAACAGGGAACAGACCTACCCTGCATGAATGACGTAGCATTGTTACCCTACACCTGAGCTGTGCAAGCGACTGACATAAAATAGCACACCCAGAGCCTCCAGTGTTGAATTGCAAGATAATATCAAAACAATTAACCTAATCAAACCCACAATATCAAGCTAAATATTATCAGATAACTCACTATTCGCCCAGCACTGTATGAGAGGAAGTTAGGTCTCTACCTTACGTGAAAAGGGCTTCAATGTCAACCACTTGCTAGGCAGATCCATCCATTACCCGTGCATTAACTTACACTTGAGCGAAGCTCGGTTGCATTCGGTTCTCTTTTCGCCCACCGCCGTGTTTCACGGTCCATACCAATCGTTATGCAGATTCTGCGTGGTTTTCTCGTGAATCTTAGATTGGCAGGACTGGTCAATAGGTGAAACTTTAAATTCTCCGCCCCTTGGTGACCTAGCAAAGGCTGCCAGGAGTGGGTAGGCGGGCAACATCGCACCGAAGTATGAAAGGCGGAATTAACGGTAATTGCCGACATGTTGGATACGCCAGGCATGAAACAAATGTCAAACCTGCATGCAAATGAAGAGGGCTCTGTGAATGGAGCATATCTGAGTTTAGGAAATTGGCAAATGAAGAATGTAAGGCGGGTTGAAAACAGCGAAAGAGAGAGAATGTGCCTACCCTTATGCAGCATATCATGCCGTGATACGAACCTGTCACAACCCCATATTCGCCTGCCTACTGGACAAGACTAGTGGAGGGTGATTATCGATTGTTTGTGAGACCTCTTCCCTTTTTGTTCCCTTCTCCCAATTTTCCTTTTGTTGCAATTCAGTACAGAGTTACAGCAATTCGATTCACAGCCTGGGTTCGTCTCTTTGCCCTAGCGGGTGCTGCGCCGTAGTTTATTCTTGGTACCGCAGTTGAGGCTGATGAGCGGAGCTGGTGGCTCTTGCTTGACCCGGAGAAAAAAATTGACACGAACTATGACAATGGACATTCTGGATACACCGACCTCGAGTCTCGGGAACGCTGATGTCTCATACGTGTGCGAACAATCCGTACTGTCTCACACACATTCCTAGCTAAGTTTTTTTCGGTGTGGAACTTGGGATGAAGTGACCATCGGGATACATCTAAGAGTATGTTGTTTCTGCGGCTGTCATGCAAAGACCAAAGGTACCCACGACGTACCTCAGTACGTACATTTTGCCTCCTCAACAGGCCGTTCCCGTTAACGGGGCAGCATTTTTTAGCACTTAGTGTGACGGTTATACGAGCAGGCCTAGCCATTGATGGATACTGGCTTGAGCCACAGCAAAGTCAACGCTGCGCTCGGCCCCATTGGTGGGGACGGGTCGATCAACTGGTGATATACGGCATTTGCCTCCCTGGCTGTCCTCGTATAAAATCTCTGAACCGTTGGGCCTTTCGTGGCTTTCAGACCGCCAGTAGGGATGTAATATGGAGGCTATGATATAACCAACGTTCCTCGAACATCAGCGCCGCGTGGACTGTCGCGCCATCGAGAGCAATCGGTTCCACAAGTTTCGGAAAGCCCATCATGCCGCACACGGAATGGCGTGGGATCGATGCGGCGGCGCTTCGTAGAGGCCCGGGTTATTTCTGCCACCCACAGAGCGTCCATCGTGTTGACCCAAGTCGCACTCGAGCGATGACGCCAGTCGGCCCAGGCCCCAGGCCAGAATCCCGATCCTGCCCCTGATGATCATTCGCTCACCAGTCAATCAACCCAGTCCGAAATGGAGTTGAACGGCCAGTTGTTATGCGTTACATCACGTTTGGGGCTCCACTGCGAAGCTTGTCAGCTTTCGTGATTGTGGCTGCCCAACTTTTTGAATTTCTGTCGCCCATGTACCTGTACCTGGGCGCTCCTCCAAGTCATGGCCATGTACCTTGAAGGTATTCACTGAGTCAATGGAGCTCTGTGCTATAGGTAAGCTTCAGAGCAACAGATATCCAGGGGGAATCAGAAGGGAGTAGCCAGGCTTCAAATCTCTCCCCCACCGGAAAGAAAAAAGAAGGCATTACATGTAAAATAAAAATAAAGAATTGGTAAGCGGTTGACAACAGGCAAGGCCGTCAGGTACGACACGGGCTAGCGACATGATAGCGACGTGCCAAGCTCATATTTGAAGCTTCTTTGGGGTCCGGATCCCCGGGCGTCCCCGCTTCGATCCACTGCCCACACTCGGATCCAGCTGAACCAGCTTCCACATCGTTCAGGGTCAAGCTAGGATGATGGCTGCCAGTGCCTACCACGTAGCGGGTTAGCAGCACATGTGCTGGACCCCTGGGCGCCTGAACGCGCCGCCAAGTCTCCTGGATATTGGATATTTTAGTGCGGGCGAGCTCAGTGTTTCTTGGGCTGATCAGTTAAATTGCAATGCCTACCTACCTACCTGATGATGTGTGCCGGCGCAAGCTCGTATGTTGGCCGGTTTTCCCGCTCGCTCCTATTCTGTGCTCGCAAAACCATGGGGGCACGGGTCGCTGTGACCAGCCTCGCATGTTCAGTAACAGTCAGACGCTCGCTTTGACTGCGCTAGTGATGAATGGCGGCATGTCTTGCCTCGTCCGTTACCTGTATGGGGCGATCGGCGGCAAGCTGGCGGCGATATGAATTTATACAGTGTGATTAATTGGCAGCCGTGGCTGGAGCGCTGAGGTGAGCTGCTTGGGAAACAAACCAAGGAGGTGGTGGTGAGGATTGCTGGGCGCATGTATCGAATACGCCGTGTGCCGTGGCTATTTGAAGCCGTCCATGTGCCAAATAGAGCATGTGAGTAACTACCCACCACCTGCCAGGGGGGTGGTGAACCAGAAAAAAGGACGGTAGTCTATAAGCAGCAGCCGGTAGAATCGTCGAGGTGACATCGGCAGTACTAATTACCTGCTGGTATGAAAGGCGTGAGACTTTCGATGGCTGTAGGGAGGGAGACCTGGCAGTAGCTTGTCAGTAATGAGGATGAGATTATCACAAGCCGTTGACGTGTTTCTCAAATGCTAATGTAAGAGCAATAACCCCCAAGGCTGTTGCAAACCTGCAGGTGCCTTTGACCGGGTAGGGCAGGTATCGCCAAGACTTGCATGTGGCGGCAATTAGGCTCGCCTCAGGCGGCCACACCCAGAGACAACCCGGGCTACAAAGTCCAATCATCGTGGTGTGCTGCACACGCGCGCGAGGCTGGAACCCTGCCGTCGAGCTATGATGAGCTTTGGAGGTAGCGCTGCTCTCAGCTTATTGCCGAGTTGATGAGCGGCGGCTCGTTATGATTACCTGGGCGGTCTAGTAGCACGCGCTTAAGTAGGTAGGTCTCTGCTAACTAGCCTGGATAAGTATTGGGCTCTCGTCCCACCGTGCTTAGCCCAGCACGCGCAATGTTGTTTATTTGGATTTCTGATCTCTGCTGCCATCTGGCCTGGGTTGCGGAGCGGGCTGCATGTCGCAAGTCAAGCGGGTGCTGGTAGGAAGTAAACAGGTGCTGCATTGACGGTGGTAACGCACGTAGCGTAGGTAGTGGAAACCCCAGTGCATGGCTCGATATGGTTGTCACCAGAGCGAATTGCAGCGATGGCTCGGCCCCATCTTTTACGAGATCTGCCCTCCAGCAACGCTCGACTGTTGCTAGCTGTGTCGATTTGGGTACGAGTTGAGGGTGGAGTGTGGTGCATCATTTGCGGCGGTTCCGTGCCATCCATGGCCTCCACGGTCAAGTTGCTGCAAATGGATGTAGCTGTACCTGTCGGCCGAGGAGGCAGGCAAGCAGGTACCTCCCAACCTCGTAGTACCAGCACGTCAGGTGTTCAATGCTACCTCAACCAGGTCGCCGGCAAGGCAGGTCTGAATCACAACTGACAGACAGGCAAGGTCTCGCCTGGCTCGATTATTATGGAGGTGCAGCAGGTGCCGTAGCTAGTGCTGGCAAGGTCGCCAGGCCTACCGGCGGCAGCGTCAGAGTTCAGAGACATGGAGGTCCATTCTGCCCACTTGCCTGCAGCAACCCCTGCCCATACCCAGACTGCATCCATCCACCTCCTCCTCTCCCTTTCCTCCCGCTACGTGGTGTCCTTGGCTGCAAACTCACGCCTCCCATTCGTTTTCTCCCGACATTCGCTTTTGGCCCTTTGTGTGTCTGCCAATTCCGCATCGTTGCGCATTTCCTTGTCCTCGCCCGGCAGCGTGTGTTGTTGCCGCTTGTTGTTTTGCTTTCCCATTTTTGTGTCCTTCCGACCGGGATCAGGAATTGGATACGGGCCTGCTCTCTCCGGTGCCTCCTGTACGATACAGTATTTTCCCACCCCCGTTTTCCTCTCCTGAGCGACTCGCAATCGACGAACCGTCACCAGCTCGCCCGGATCCCGAGATCTTGTCCGCCCTCCTCGACTCGACTACAATAATCACCGACATCAGGCAAAATCCATCTTTTCTCGCCTGACGTTTCGAGACCTTCGCTTCACCGAACACGGCTGCTCTCTTCTCTGGCTGCTTTGCCCATATTTTTAATATCACCTGTTCTCCTTCAGCCTCCCCCTTCTCCTCCAGGCTTGGACACTCCACAGCCTTGTGTGTGTGGCTTGCTTTTTGCGTGCCATTCCATCATCGGTGCAAATTAATGTGAGTCCTTCTCAACCATTCCCGACACTTGGGCAACCGCCCATGTCGCCTGTCTCAGCACACCCCAGTATTCGGGCTTTCTCATAACGGGACTGGCGTGACCTTTCCATCTCAGCCTGTTGCTCACCGTTTTCTGCCCAATTCCCTCTGCCTTTGACTCGTGGCATCAACCTGACCTGCTGTTTCTTGCGGACGCTGACATCCATTTCTTTCAATGCGATGCAGTCATCTTTTGTCACACCTTGTGCATCCTTCTCGTGACTGGGCGGCCGATCGACGAGTCCGAACCCGCGCATAACTCTGCTACCCTTCGGTTTCACGTGGACCCGGCATCCCTCGTTTCCTCGGGCTGTAGAGGGTTAACCTGTTCGTTGCCTCAACCAGCTTGAAGCTACCAGTGGCTGCGGCCACTTGTGATTAGTCCACGGTGATCTTTCTACATGCCTAGATTTTCGACCGCGTTTTACCGGCGGAAATCCACCGCGGATGACTTGACAGCCGTTCAACCATCCCCCGAATCTCCGTCATTTCGTGTTCTCGAACGCCACCCTTCTCCTCCTCCGCGGGCATTTGATGGGGGCGCCAGAATGGCAAGAACCTCTGGCGTCCCCATGCATAAGCCAAGCCCGTCGGAGTTGGACGTTGAGGATAACATATTTGCTGGTTTGAACAATAATCGGTATGTATAGCATGAGTCGCCCCCCATCTCGGAGCCTGTTCTCGGTCCCTGCATGCGTTATGCATCCGTACCGTCTCCAGCCTGTTTCTTGATCCCTAACACCTTTGGTGGTTTCTAGTGCTAATCGAGGTAGCGGAAGCGGAGCGTCGAACACTACAAAGGCCACATCGACCGACAACTCATCACGGCATAGTAATGCGTCTACGGCTCCGTCATCAGCAGACATGGCCAACAATCAGGATGACCGCGGCGGAAAGCGAAAGCCGGCTGCTCAAGAAACCATGCCACGACCACTTACCAAATCAAGCACCTCGAGTTTTCTTGATCGTGCAGGTCGAACCTTGTCCTTCGGAATAAAGAGCAAACATCACACCCCCCCTCCCAAGCAGGAGGACGTTCCACCACTGCCTACATTCCAACGCGAGGACGAGTTTGGTAGAGCTAGGGCTATGACGGCCTCAACAACCAGCACAGCTACCCCACCCAAGCTGGAGGAGGAGAGCAATTTCGATCTGGGTGGTGATTTCGGCTCCATGTTTTCGAAATTCGACAAGCGGGCTAGCATGGCCACCCTCCGGATGGATGGTAAACAGAACAAATCGCCATCACCCACAAAGCAGCGCCCTCAACAGCCAGGCCCGGTGCCTCCCCCATTGGATATCGGAGCCACAAAGGCCCCTGTTGACTCAGCTCCCCCGTCATGGAACAGTCAGAATTCGTACCAGTCGAGAGAGACTCTGATGAGCCCCCCCCAAGCAGCACAATACGACCAGCCACCACCTGTTCCTCGACATCAGCCTTCATTCGAATATAGGTCTGTGAAGAGCCCTGGGTCTCCGATGGAGGATGAGGATGCTAGACTCCTCGCTGATTCGGTTGCGGCTGGCAAGTTCTTGACAACCGAAATCCCCGAACACGCCGCAGTTGAGCGATATGGGCGGGAAGAAGACGACTTTACTGTTATGGGCCGAGGAGCGGTGGCATCGGACTTTTCGAGGGAGGATAACATGTTTGCGGGTACCTCGTCGCAATTCTCGAGAAATGTGATCAGGGAAGTCCCTCAACCGGCGAAGGCATCTTCTGATAACCCGAACAACCGAGTTATGACACCTGCAGAGTTTGAAAGATATCGGCGAGACAAGGAGCGCGAGGGCCTTGAGAAGGCTGCTTATGGTGAGCCTGCGGATGATGACGACGACGAGGACCCAATCAACTACGATGACGAAGAAGATGAGAATGATAAGTTGAAGCAACAAGCTAAACAGAGGAGGAATCAGCAAGCTCAGATGACAGCTTATCGACAGAGAAACATGAAGACGACTGGTGAACTTGCTAGTACCACACCCGTTTCTCCAGGCCGCCCGACTCTCGGCACGTCGCTGAGTGCACCACACCTTGCCCCCAACAAAACCCCGTCACCTGAACCGGGACATGCAATCGACGAGGACGAAGACGAGGACGTTCCTCTGGCCATCCTTCAAGCGCACGGCTTCCCGCATAAGAGGGCTCCTAGCCGCCTCACCTCCTTTGGATCTAACCCTAACCTCCGAGCCTCGACCATGTTACAGCCGGGACGACCTGCATCTGTGGTAGGAGATCCTGCTTCCCAATCCAAACGTTTCTCCACTCTCCCAGCTTTTGCTCGTAACCTCCCGCAGGATCCATTTGTTGGTGCCGGCGTTGCCCGGCCTGCTATTCGAGAATCAATGTCGTTCGGCATTGGTAGCCCACAGCCGCCTCCCCAACAGTCACCATCGATGCACCCTGGAGGCCTCATTGGTGTTATTGCTACGGAAGAGCGCAACCGAGCAATGCGCCGTGGCAGCCCCAATTTGGAAAGTCAGAGAGCCTTCGGAGGAGGCATGGATCCCATGATGTTTAATGGTGGCATGCGCATGCCACCCCAGCAGCAACCGCCACAGAACGCGAATCAGTTGAGCGTTCAGGACCAGGCCCAGCTCCAGATGTCACAACAAATGTCCTCGTTCTTGCAGATGCAAATGCAGTTTATGCAAATGATGGCTGGTCAACAGCAAGGTGGCTCCCCCCAGATGCTCCAGCAAATGTCTCCTCCAATGATGCAGCAGATGATGGGATCGCCTCCAGGACAGCAGCAGCCATATGGAGGGTTTGCAGGAAGCCAATCTGTCGCCGACTTCCAGTCAGGCCAGTCCTTTGGTGGATCACCGCCGCTCACTCAACCCCGAAGGATGGACGCAAGCATGCGTACAATGAGCATGATCCAGCCTAGCTCCTCCTCTTTCATGCAATTGCCTGCTTTTGGCAATGGACTCGGACCTGGCGCTGGATACAGTGCTTCAATCGCACCCTCTGAACGAAGCAATATCGGACTCCCAGGGCGCTACCGACCTGTATCACAGGCAGGGTCCCTCACAGGCCAGAACTTTATGCACCAGCGGACCCAGTCTATGTCGGGTGCGACGGCTTTGTCATCATTTGCTACTCCCGATGACTCGAAGGTGGTGCCTACTGTGAAGCTAGTGAGCGAGGCCAAGAATAGCAATAATCACAGTGACGATGAAGATGATGAGGAAGGATGGGCCGCTATGAAGGCGAAGAGGGAGCAGAAGAAATCTAGGTGGCGGCTCAAAAAGGGGTCCACGGACCTCTTCTGAAGGATTGAGCATTTCAACTCTCTACGATCATTGTGAAAACAAAAAAGTTTCTCTGAATTGGATAATATTGGTGGTCAAACTCGGGTAATTTGTCAATGATGCATGGATATTTCCCCCCTCAGACAGATGGGGACCGACTGTTTCACTTCACATCTATATACACCACTTACATGGCCCTTTTCTGGCCCTTTCTTCCATGATATTACAACTGGATTGGTGGATTTGAATAGTTTTGCATCTTGGATAGAATTTTGTCTCTACGTGGTAATTGAATAATGTCGTGGTGGCGTGCCATGAGCAGGTTTTTTGCATGACAATTATAACATTTGAAAAAGGTACTTTGCTTTGTGACTCTGACGATTCTACATGTAGGCGATGACTTGTAGTCAATAGTTGTTCTATTTCTGAGTAAGATGCCCATGATGTGAACGGACCGTATACGCGAAAGGGAGCAAGCAGATATCAATTTCCTTTTTTTTTCTCTCTAAAAGATGACCAACTCTATCCTTCGATCTTTCCAGTACCCCATTCTTGTCTCTTCACGCCCATCTCGACAGCTGCGGAGCCCCAGTCCTCGCCATGGTTGTGGCCCTTGCCGTCAACGCCAGCCCGAGCCTTTGCCTGCTCCTCGTTGAGCACGGTGAGGATGCCGAGGATGACGGGGATGCCCGTGTCCAGCTGAACGCGCATCAGGCCGTGCACGGCGGCGTCCGCGATGTACTCAAAGTGCATCGTCTCTCCCTTGATGAGGACGCCGACGGCGATGACGGCGTCGAAGGGTCCCGAGGAGGAGCTGGTGGAGAGGGAGGTCAGGTCAGAGGTGGACGCGGCGAGCAGGTCCGTTGCGGAGGGGGCGCCGGTGGTGTTGGACTGGATCTGGGAGGCGGAGATGAGGCTGAGGAAGAGCTCTTGAGTTAGCTGGGTGTCCCGAGGCCGCGTCGCTCGGGGGCGCTGAGTTGAAGCCGAGGGGTGAGGGGCGTTACTTACCGCTGGACGGCAATGGGCAGCTCCCAGGAGCCGGGGCAGGATTGGACGACGATGTTGGACTCCTTGACGCCGGCAGCCAGGAGCTTCTCCTTGGCGCCGGCGACGAGGGGCTCGATGATGGTCTCGTTCCATCGGGCGTGGACAATGGCCACGCGGAGGCCGGAGCCGTCGTGGTGCTGGGGGCTGGGTCCTTTGAGATACATGGTTCCGAACTTGGGGTTGGTTGGACAGGCGCAAGGTTGAGTGAGGATGTGAAGGGCAGGTCTTGCGGAATCGGGACAAATTGATGCTTATTGATGGGTTTGGGGGGAAGCTTCGAGCTATCTAGATGGATGGATGGAGGGGTCCTCGGGTCCTGGTGGGGGACACCCACCATTATTAGAGATGCATGCTTGCGTCAAGCGGGGCTTCTGGTCGCAAGAGTGGCCTGTCGGCACCCACGTCACTTATGCAGGGACGCTTCCGTCTGACAGGTTCTTTACGACAGACAGCATCAAAGGTGTCAAGTGACTCTTGGCAGGTCGATCATTGATACCGTCTGACAGGACACCAGGATATATTTATTTGTCTCCAATGCGCGACTTAGATTCTGGATCGCACTTTCTCTTTCCATTTCTCGGGTCTTGGTGACGACTGGCACCTGCCTCTTGCTATGGTGAACGAGCTCTTTCGTCTACAATGGCAGGAGCGCCCCTCGACTGGCTCCTGCCTGGTAATTTTTGGATGAAAGATGGTAAAAATGTGCAGCCTCGATTCGTGTAGTTTTCCTTCTCCCCATCAGGAAACAAACGGTATGCCACCTGGTGATCCTGGCTTGTTCTTTCTGTTTTGAACCCATGTAGCTGGAATTCCCTTCTTGTCTCAGCATGGGCATCGTCGAACTCCCCTCGGCAACGGCCAGGCAGCTCGGTGCGTCATTGGACATTGTGGACCCGTCGGCACTAACAAAAGAGCTCCTGGAAAACTCAATTGATGCGGGTGCGACGCATATCAGTATCCTAATCTCGCCCAATACGGTCGACAAGATACTCGTCCGTGACAATGGCTCTGGGATCCTGCCAGCTGATTTCGATGCGCTTGGTCGGAGATCTCACACGAGCAAGTTGAACACAATCGATGATCTCCGAAAGCGTGGGATAAAGACCTTGGGTTTCAGGGGACAAGCTCTCGCAAGCGCTAACTCTATCGCTGCTCTTACAATCACGACACGAGTGTGTGGTGATGCTGTGGCTTCCCAGCTCCGTTTGAAACCTGGCGTCGGCGGGGTGGAGGGGAGGGGTGTCACGCCGGCACCAGTGGGAACCACGGTCAAGGCTGAATTTCTGTTTGAGAAAATGCCAATCAGGAAACGTTATGCCATCAAGGAGAGCCAGAAGACGCTGTTGAAGATCAAGGAGTTACTTCGAGCTTACGCCCTAGCTCGGCCAGATATCAAATTATCTTTTAAAGTCCTCAACGACTCGAAGAATGGATGGGACTATGCTCCATCCCGTACAACCACGCTGCAAGATGCGGCGTTGCAGATATTTGGGAGGGACTTACTGAACCAGTGCACCTATGTTGAGAGGACGCGGGACTTCCCCAACGTGGAAGACGAACTCAATGTCGACGAGGGTGTTGTGATGGGCTTGCAGGCCTTATTACCAAAGCCAGGACCCGACCTTACACAAGCTAAAACTAAGGGGAGGTTCTTTTCAGTCAATTCGAGGCCAATCGCATCCAATCGCGGGATATCTTTGAGATTCATCTCTACCGTCAAGACCTTTCTCTCGGAAGCTAGCGGCGACCACGCCGCCACAAGCCGTGTTTCGATTCCATTCATCCAACTAAACATCCAATGTGACCCAAATCGTTATGATGTGAATATAACACCTCTTAAAGACGAACTACTCTTTGAAGAGGAAGAAAAGATTATGAGATGTTTCGAGGCCCTCTGTCGTACAACTTATCAGCAGTCAGCTCAGGAGGCGCGTCAGCCGGAGGATAAATCAAGACAAGGTGTTGATTTCTCTGCAATGCTTCAAGGTGTCGGCAAGCATCCTACGCCGGAATCTTCGCCCCTTGGAAAGGTAACCTGCTAGCCATGAAAACCACAACTTAACATGAACTAGCTAGCTGATACGTGTACTAGGATACTAGCCTCTCTATAGACAACAAGATGAATGGGCAGAACGAGAGCTTGAAAATTGGGGAATCTCTACCTCACAAGGAGGCAAGCAACTCCGATGTTCAAGAGGGGACAGGCGAATCCTCTTCATATACCCCAATGCGAACAGGGTTTGGAGTTAATCTTGATCGTACGCATAGCAATGGTACTGATAAGGTCAGCAGCAGTGATGAAGTCATGATCCAGATTCCCCTGAGGCCATTGCTGCCAAACAAATGCGTGTCGACAAAGGGAAAGCCGAAGGCCTCCACGTCCCTACCTGGCCAAGCACTTTCCATGGGAGATATCCATCGATATTTCAAGCCCACAAATCAGCTTGATTTTGAGATTGCTACTGACGATACTGCAACTGAAACAAACCAATCAACCGCTCCGCCATCCCCACAGCCTATGTCTTCGGAACGAATTGGACATCGCCGGCTGCCCTTGCAACCAGTCCCAGAGGGAAGGTTGAATATTCTTAACAATGACAACGGGGACAACTTGAGGCTTGATCATGACAACGAGGCTCATTCGCCCCCTATATTGAGCCCGATTGCTGGCCGAAGAATGGGATCTCGTCAACGCTTGAATCCGGTCCGAGGCATATCAAGGACAGAGCCAGTGTCCCGCAGTCAGCCTCCGCGACATGCTCAAACCATTCTCCCCCCTGGAGGTCTTCTTCCGATTAGTACGCCTTTAAGACAAGTATCGAATGCGATGGACACGCCCCCAGCTTCAGTCGATTTTGTCAACGCCTTTTCAGATGAGACATATCGAGGCAGTGATCACAGTTCCAGTCCGAGACAAGGTCGCCGATTGGCCCCCAGAGTTAGAGGAAGTCCTCCAGCTACCCGGAGGCGAAGACTGCATCCAGATGAGACTCCCGGAACAATTACATCGACCAGGGAGCAACGTGAAACGGGTTCAGGCATGCCTGGATCAAGAAGGATCTTACCTCTTCCTGAATCGGCAGATAACAATTTGGATCATAGCATTGGAGCTTCTCCTAGCCTTTCTGTTTACGATACTAGCGCCCCTGGGCCCTCCGCCTCTCACCCATACTACCTTTCAGCTTCAAATCAGCATCAAGCAGTCGAAGAGGAGCCAGGCAAGCTGCTACCAAGCATTGAAGCCCCATTGGAAAGGCCTAGTTCAACAATGCCAAGACAGGTGAATGGAGAGGTTATTGCTGGTATTTCAAGTTCAAAACGCCAATGTAGGCGTAGAACTTCATCAAAGTCGAAGAATCTTCCACTCGAAAGAATACCACGTGCATACGAGACACATTCTCTTCTATCAGTGGTTGAAGCCTCTTCTACTTTTAAGTCTAGCATGGCGAAAAATTTGATATTCGACGATTTCAAGCTTCAACGTCTGGAATTTCGAAATACTCATGAGTCCCTCAGTGTCGAAAGGCGGCTTATGACGACAGTGGATGTATGGAAAGAAGGCCAAACCGGGGATATAGAGATCGAGTATACGCTCCGATCGCATATTAAAGGGAAGGGAACTATGTGACGCTATGACGTACATGGCCAAGAGAAAAGACTACCACCCTTTCCTTCACTGACACCTTCTTCTTTCTGGCACCGGATGCGTTCATGACACATTGGCATATGCGCCTGCCTCTGGGTTCGGGCCACAGCTGGCTGTGTTTACGGGACTGAGGTAGATTGAGTGAAGCAGAGGTGAGCTCACCATGTATAACGCCCCCCCACATTGCATGGTGGATTCACAAGTTGTCTAGATTGGGAAGAGCGAAATCTGCTTAAAATAGCATCAATAGTTGGCACTGCCTTGTGACAGAGGGGCCACGGACGAATGAACGGCTGAGAATTATCTGCCTGGATTTCTGAGGGTCCAATGAACGGCAAGCTGCGGAATAGACATGGCATTGGCATTTCTCGTATCTGTTGTTCTTTTGTGGGGCACCGGGCCCAGCAACATGAGACGTGCCGTCATCCTGAGAGGCTAATGAAGAATCACAGCTAATGATTATGTACATGTGTGTAATCGTTGTGTACCGCTCCGCTGGCAAATCGATCGTAGGTTTGTCCCGCAGAAGCGAATGCGCGGCAGGCGGCTTGTGCTTGCTGTTGTAGCAGGCTTCGGGCCGTGGGTTTCAAAACAAGATTTGCTGAAGGAAGGTTTATCGCTTCCTGAAGATTTGGAAGGATGCGAAACAAACAGTTCCTGGGCTTGTGCCCACTTTCTCGCTGGGGCTGTAAATACCATCGCGTCTACGGGGCGCAGCATCAGCTGGCTCCCCCTCTAAGTTCCGCCATATGGCTGCTCATTTTTCGTATACGCATACGCAATGGAGGCTGATGTGTGAGATCATTGTACCTGAGAAGAATTGGCTCATCCGACTGCCACTTGGATGATCAGGGCTATTGTGATAGTCGGTACCTACCTAGCCAATTCCATCTAGTCGTGGATAGCTTTCGACTTGGTCCCTTTATTTCATCTCCCTCGCCCCCTTCCTTGGAGTAGCTCCTGTTTATGTACTGCCTACTATTTGGATGCTAGTGTCAAGCTGCGGGCTTTCCCCCCTTCGTGCTATCTATGTAGCTATGTAGGGACACGAAGGGTAGAGGCAGGGCTGCATCGTACGGCGGGATGACAAGACCAATCAGAGCTGCCCCCTGCTGGCAGGTACGCTGTAGGTGGGAGTCTTGAGTTGCGCATAATGGGATGAGTATTTCGAGGGTGTTTGAGTCATTCTTCTCCTGACATTCCAGAGGCCCCGCGGGATCCGCGGGGCTCATGCGGCAAGTGCTCATAAATGAATGGCCTTCTCGGCCAAATCTGTGCTGAAATCCAAGATGGAAGAATCGCAAGCGTTGCGTGGCTTCCAGGCTGGCGGTGCATCCGTTAGTGTTTTGAGGGTACCTGCCAGAGCACAGGCATCATGTACCTGCACCAACGTTTTCCGTTATTCTTGCTTGGCCCAGTCCCATTAGTAATTAGCCTGTATCTTGTGCATTGCCTGCCGTGTCTGTGCCCGGCCAAATATGACCCAGACCTGCGACCTGCTGCTGGGCAAGTACCTACCCAGATTCGCAATCGTACCACCATCACCTGGCCGAGGTCAATCAATCCAGCGCAGCCTGACTCTGGGGCTATGGTGTCTACGCTACATCGACTAAGGCCCATAGACACCGGTAGCGTGCCTCGTTGCTAGCTTGCAGCATCGCCGCCAGGGGAGCTCAGTTGGGCAAAGGCCAGTGGAGGACCTACCAGCATTAACCCGCCCGTATTGTCGGGGTCAGCTCGCGTACGTCCAGATCCAGGGCCCAGGAATCACGATCAGCAAATACCCACCACAGCGACCCAACTTGCCTCCATCCAACAGCAACACCATCGATTTCCAGCCTGGCCATCCTGCTCACTCTCGTTCCATCCGTGCCCGCCATTCCACTCGCTTTTTTCTCGACGCCGCAGCCCATCTGACGCACCCGGGACGTCTCTTGCAGGTCGCATCCTCGATCCCTTGCTGCCTCAGCTTGCCGTCCGACGAATACGTCCTTTGCCGCCCGTCTTTTGGCTCGGCCTGGCTGAGAAACCTTTACCCTTTCGGCTCCGCTCTCTCGATATTACCGTCCCGAACCACCTGCTATTCTCTAGGAGCTGTGTCTCTCGCTTACGACCCCGTCTTAACCGCTCCCTCCCTTCCGCTCGACGATTCCCTTTGCGCCCACGGCCCTCCTCAAGACCAGCTCTTTCCGAACAGCGCCCTGATTTAGTAAATAATGCTTATTCCCTAAACAATCCCGTGCAAGGTTTGGCTGTACTTGGCCTCCCCATTCGCCAAGCATGCGGCTGCTCTCTGGCGCCCCCGACAGCTGCCAGGGCAGTGGTGTCTTTGCATATTGTACACCAGCGAGGAGGAGGCATCGGACGCCAAAGTCTGGCTTTGGATCCAAGGATGATGAACTTTCAGTAACGGCCGATACACGACGTCTGGAAAATGTCGACAAGAGATCTACGGTCTGCTCAGAGCACAAGAGGCGGCATGTTAGGACCAGGACCATGAACAGCCCTGGAGCGCAATCATATTGGCGATACCGTCAATCACCGGCATGGAGCCTGCTGGTGTCGTTGATCCTCCTGTTCCTTCCTACAACACCTGTGTTTGCCGCAAAATTACCATTTCAGAACTGCCTCTCCGACGACTATCTATCCGCAACACCACCTAAACTACAATTCGCACCAGCCGAAGTTCATGCCTTTTTCGACACGGAGAATCCCAGCCACAAGCTTGAAGTTATCGTGTATGGAAATGTCACTGGGTCATATAATAGAGTTACCCTTCCAGGGGAAGGGGACCCTCATTGGTCCGATGTGACCCAGACCGACGGCAAGATTCTTAGGCAGCCGGAGGGCGAGCAGGGAAAGGCGACGACGCTGTTTCGCCATGTCGACGTGCTCACATACAGGCCATATCAGCAGCCAGACGTGGATTTTTGTTCTGGGGGTCTGGGCGCTGGCGTAGAATGTCCGTTGGGCCCTGTGTGGCGCGTGGAGTAAGTGTTTCGATTGCTGCGATGCTCCTTCTTTGATACTAATGATGCTCGTTTCTGTCTAGTGACTTCCCGTATGGGCTCCCTACAATTAATATCACCGGCGACGTCAATTCGTCATATGTTTTCACTTCCTTTACACCCAATTTTCAAATCACCTATGGTGACGTCAACAAAACCACCATCGCTTGTATCACGGCGACGGTCACACCTGATCTTGGCGACTATGCCCGGATAATCGAGTTTATCCCTCTTCTAGTGCTCGCCTTGACTGGCTTTGCAACTATCTTTGCCGCCATCTGGAGCCCTTGGGGCACGACGGATATCTTCCACTGGACCTCCAACTATGGTCGCGACACAGATCTCCTAAGATTAGTGACGCCTGGTTTCGGTGATTGTTTGCACCATATTCAATTTGCGGTGTTGACAGGATCACTGAGCCTGTCCTATCCTGGATTCTATCAGCCTATCGTGGGCCAGGTGGCTTGGTCCGCGCTCCTATTCAACCACACGATTGCTACCAACGGTTCGACCTACTACCAGCCCGTTCAGGATGGAGTATATGTCCTTGACGGCAGTTACGGATTGCACAGGTTGGGCCAGCTTGTGGGCTTGGAGTTGACTGCCGATCTTTGGCCAGGCATGATGGTCTGGCTCTGTGTCGTCGTAGGTTCTGTTACGGTGTTGGCACAAGCTGCTTTCCTGCTCCAATGGATCTACCGAAAAATCAGAAAAACCTCAGAAGAAGACCTCCGGTCGAAGAATATACCCTTTTCTGTCGGGAACGTGGTTCGCATCGTTTTCAACTTCTTTCTTCTTCCTATTGTGTCGCTCTCTTGCTTCCAGTTGGTTGTAGCTGCTGACTCTACGCAAGCTGCTGTGGCCATTGCGGCACTGACCGTTGTCGCCATTGTAGCCTTCACAGCCTGGGTGTTCCGACTCATTCTTCGTGCAAAACCCAAGTCGATTCTGTTTGATGATCTACCCACAGTCTTGCAATATGGACCACTGTACAACACATACTCAGACCAAGCTGCTGCGTTTGCTCTAGTCTCAACAATACTCACCATTATTCGGGGCATTGCTATTGGAGCTGTTCAGCCCAGTGGTATCGCTCAGATTATCCTTCTTGCTATTTGCGAGGTTGTCTTCGTGTTCGCCTTGCACGCCTCCCGGCCTTACCACCCAGGAACATCGATGAACGCATATCACACTGTTTTCGCCTTTCTGCGCTTGATAACCATTCTCATGATGGTTGCGTTTATCCCTCAGCTGAGTGTGGCCGATAGTGCGAAGGGCTGGGTTGGTTATGCAGTCTTGCTGGTTCACGGCGCTTTTCTCATTCTTGGTTTTCTCATTAATGCCTTACAAACCATATTCGAAGTGACGGCGTTGATGCTTGGAGCTGGGGGAGACGACGCTCATGGCTTGACGAGAGGAGGTCTTTCGAAGATCTTTGGAATGCGGCAGTTATCACGTCGACCAGGACCGCGCGCTGGCCCATCACGGGCAAGCCAGCTCTCTAGTGCGGCCATGCTGGACCAGGAAGATAATTCCAAGAATGGATTCGCAATGCCTAGCGGACGGGTAAGGAGCGAATCTGCCGGGAGCCTGAACGGTATGCTTGTTCCCCGACACAGAAGCAGCTCAGCTCTAGACAGTATCGATATGTATGCCGGTTACCATCGTCCAGGCGGCAGCGTAAGCTCATACATGCCCGGAGATACGCCGCAATTCTCCGCCGCCAACACTCCCACGTTGGGCCGAGGTCAAGGACCAGCCCTGCCGATGGAGGCTGCTGGTCCATACTACCGTCCTCCCCGCAGGCGCCAAGAAACAATGGACAGTCAGCCAGAGAGTCAGCGAGGATCGATTCATGTAGAGACGAAACAACGCCAGAGTCTGGGCCCCGGCCCGCTTCTCGGAGACGCCGGCGAGATGGGTGCAGAGATCTCCCGAGGACCTACGCCTGCCAACGCAATCGCTAGTTTGGCTAATATTCCAAACCGCCCCGACTACTCGACGCGAGAAGTTGACTTTTACTATGGTGTTACTCGTGGGCCGGCTCTAAATTCTGATGGTGCTGGTAGGAGGCTTGGGACAGGCCCTGCAGATCCCACTGGCCCAGTAGCAACCGCCACAGGCTGGTTGCGCGGCTTTCTGGGAGGAAAGACGAAGGAGAAGGGCAAGGGTTTCGAAGTTGTCAGAAGTGCAAGAATGCCTCCGGCCATGATGGCTCGGAATGGTGAACACCCGGAAGGCATCCCCGTCGCCATGGGCGTGCTTCGGAATGGACCAATTGACTCTGACGATGAGGACCAACCGGTCTCCAAGGCAAAATTGAAGGCTCGACCTGGCACTCTTCTTACAGAGACAGGCGAGCCTCGAGGTCCGGATGAGGATGAGCCAGATAGTCCAGCTACCGATCGTCTCCCCCGCGGGTCTAAACCTTTGCAACGCCAAGACACGTTGGAGCAGCCCCCTGAAGTTCCACGGAAAAGTTCTAAGAGGAATTCGGCGCTAATAGAAAGCTCTAAGAACTCTGCGGTGTCAGATCACGGTGCCGAATCATCATCCAAGTCGATCGATGAGCCAGGGCAAAGTAGTGAAGCTGCAGGAACAGGAATCATCCATTCACGGCTGCCGTTCGAGAGGACGGCATCGCAGAAGCGGAGGCTTTCCAATCCTTCTTCGATGGAGATTTCCATTGACCTTTCGCGCGAGCCAAGCACCAGACTTGGTGAACGTCCTGCCAGCTTCGGTCTCGTATCGCAACATAGTATTAGCCGTGTGGATCCACAGCACGGTGATACTGAGTTGTTTGGGGCATCTGCGGAGTTGGTGGATGAGCCATTACACGACAGGCGTTGAAGACCTTTATCATTTAATCGAAAAGTGACACACCTCTATTCATTCAGAATATACAGTTTGTACCAGAGCCCTGACTAGGCATTCGATACATAAAACTCTCGAACACATTATTTTATCATCGTCATCATCATGGGGCGGAGAGTATAGCCCTTTATCTGTTATCATTGCGGGTTGGGGAGAGACGGGCATATGCACGTTTTTATTCACAGGCCAAGACTTTGGGTTGTATGGCTCAAGGCCATCATCGGGTTCATTCGATATTTATTGCAAGGCGTTGGGCTCATTTTTACAAACACGAGTTTCTTTTTTGTTTTGGATCGGCCTGCAGTTTGCCTTTTCCAGTTATCATTTCGGTCGTCCTTAATTTCCCTTTTTGCGCTCATCCATGGGCTTCTCTTCCGTTGGGGATTCATCATTGAAACATAGTAGCGCCGGCGTACCATCCTGCATAAAAGTTGATGCTTTTCTTTTTTTCTGGACGGTTGGTTTTTTGGAGGATGGCATGGATCTGGCATCAGAAGATAGTAAGTAGATTTTATGGAAACACGGGGATCTAATATGAGATGATCCATCTCAGAACATTATTGGCGGGAAATCTGTTAGTATCAGGTGGTAATGTGTGTTTATTGTCCTATTGGGCATTGCTCATGTACTTAGTTCCTTTTTCTTTTTTCCCTCTTCATTTTAACGCTTACGAATTAATGAATGGTGAACTATATTAATTCTTCAACTTGGATCTAACTCTATGAAAGGTGCTGCTGCGAGGGAATGGTAATCTCACTTAGGAAACAAGTAACATGGGCTCGATACTGGGAAATCAGACTTCTCTATCCTTTTTGTATGGTTCTCGGGTATACGTCCTTTGATCTAGCTGTATCCATGTGTCTAGATTACGCATAAAAAAATCGTGGGCTACCTATCCTTTCCGCTAAAAACTACATGTGAACTACTATTTGACGCCAATGAAACCGATGCCTGCTCTCGCCCTCTGGGCGGCCTTCTTCAACGCCTGCTCCTCGACGTCGGTCCATTTCACGCTCAGCTGGTCCCACTTGCTCCCGGGGGTGTTGTACTCCTTGCGCCACTGCGCGTGCATCTGCTGGAGCCGGGCCATCTCCCGGGGGTCCCCCGAGCCGCTGTACACGATGAAGGCGGTACAGGGCGGGAGGGCTTCGTAGATGGTCGCCAGGCGCGAGGTGAGCGCGACGAGAGCCTGCTCCAGGGGCGAGGTGCCCTCCTCCCCCGCTGCTGCGTCGGGCGGCCCGCCATCGCTGCTGGAGTTGTCGACGCGGTTCTTATTCCACCAGCCCCGCAGGGCCTCGAGCTCGCGCATGCGCGCCCAGACGAAGTCGACGCCGCCGCCCCTGATCTCGCGGCCGTCCGGGTCGCCGTTGACGGCGCGGACGACGTTGGAGGTGACGTCGTCGTCGGTCCTGCACCCGAGCTGGTGCGTGGCCCCCGCGCCGGCGCCCTTGGACGGCTGGCCCCAGTCGACGGCGGCGCTCGTCTTGCCGACCTCGACGCCGCCGACTGCGTTCTCCCCGCCCTGGGCCTTGTACGCCGTCCCCGCCCTGGCGAGGCGGCGGAAGAGGTTCTCGCCCTGGGAGTCGGAGGAGCCCCAGAGCTTGCCCTTCTCGCACTTCTGCTTGACGAGGTCGAGGCAGGTTTTTGCGTCTTCGACGCTGTCGTGGCCGTTTGCGCCGCCCCTTTGGATCTCCCGGGAGAGGTACTTCTGGGCGAGCCATTTCAAGGAGGATTTGAGGGGGGGTCCGCGGGGGTGGGGGTAGAGGATGGAGGTGTCGACGATGAAGGGGTGGGTGAGCTGGAGTGCTTTGGTGTCGGACTCTAGGGAGTGTCCTATGAGGATGGTGCGGGGGTGCAGGATTTCGAGGAGCTTCTCCTGGATGTCCTGGAGGGTGGTCGTGACGGGGGCGAGCATCTCCTCGGTGATGCCCGAGAACTGGGTGACGTAGTTGGTGATGGGCTTGCTGGGCTTGACGAGCTCGTCGAGGACCGTCTCGCCCGACCAGTCGACGAGGCTGATGCGGGTGAGGGAGAACTCGTTCTCGCCCGTCATGCACATCTCGCAGTCCATGGCGAGGATCTCCCGGCCGGCCGTGATGCTGCCCTGCTGGATCTCGCTCTCGGGGACGTCGCCCTCTTCGAGACTGTTCACCTTGGTGGCGACCCAGCCCTCGGGTGCTACGAACTTTTCTCGGTGATCTTCGGGGAGCATTGCGGGGTGGACTAGGTAGCCGTTATCTTGTAGGTCTTCTACCGTGGAGAGGAACTCGGTGATTCGCGTCCGCTCGTTCTTCCAGCCATGCGGCTCGGAAGCGGGCTTCACGCCGGTTCCCTTCTTCTTCTCCTTGTTCACTGGGACTGTGAGAAAGGCGGCCAAGGGCGAGTGCATCTTGCCCTGCTTGTCGTCTCCTGGCGTCCGGATGGGCCATAGGTGAGGGAACATGTCGGCGAAAGGTTTCAGCGCATCTGGGATCTCATCCTTCACCAACTTCCGAGGGTAGTAGCTATCGGGAGATGACTGGGAGGGCCCCTGATCCTCGCCTCGCTCATCATAGTTGCCGTAGTCGACGCCGGTTTTGAACATGGCCTCCTCTAACCCGGGGACCATGATGGTCACGATCTTTCTGAAGTGCGGCCGATGGCTTATAGCCACCCATTGAGGGGCAGGGCCATCCGCGTAGATGTACGTCACGAGATCCCGGAGGCTGTTGAGGTTGACCTTGGCATTGAGACGGGCATTTGGGGAGAAGCTGATGGCGGGATAGCTTTTGCCGGGCTTGGGGAGCTTCTTGGCCTTCTTGCTGGGCCGGGACACGACCTGCCACTCGCCGCCATCGTCGTCCTCGTCGTGGGTTTTGGCGCGCTTCAGGCTGCCATCGCTGGTGTTGTTGGACTCTGTCTCCAAGGGCTCCCTTGCAGCCTTTTTTTTGCCCATGGCTCGAGGGCGCGATGAGTCTGGCTGAGCCTGTATCAAGTCCTGGGTTGGATATGGATGAGCCCTATGTAGACTTATGATCCGGAAGGTATATAAAGCTCAGTCTGGCTCAATCTAGGTGTGACTGTGCTTAGCAATGCGCAATGGGATCTCGTAGCTTGGTTGTTGTTGAGATCAGCATCTTGAAAACTGCAGCATTTCGATGAGATGAAGTTCGTTATCTTATCGGCCGACATATTTTAGCGGGAAGAGTGGAGCAACCGATGGAAATATGGGTCTAAACCAGGGTCCTCAGGCGTACAGTGACTTGGTACTTTACAGCGCTCCAACATCAACGGCTCAGCACGCGTCGAGGTCACTAATCGCGTAATAACGAATGAGTAGGCATTTGGACGAGCACATCACTTGTCCAAGATTCACATCAACACAGGGTTTTTCGCCGGTCCGCTCGCAATTCCTTTAAGCATCTCATCATGGATTCAGTCTACTGCTACTGCACCTCCTGTGATGGCCGGATAGGCTCCGTGTCTAATCACTGGATCAAGATCGGCAAGAATTACTTGACACCAGCGCTGGAGAGCAACGTCGAGTTTGATGTGACGACATCACAGAAGATCCGTATTGGCGAGAAAGACACCCTTCTCGATAGATGGTAAGTTATTCACCCTCTTCGATGAATTATTTATGAAAGAACTAAACATAGGATTCAGTGAATTACAGAGCACTCAGTGTGCGATATGTGCTTCAACCCTGGGAATGAAGACTGTATTCGCGCCATCAAACCATATCCTCTGCCCGTGAGTTGGCAATGCCATTTCATGATTCTAAATTTCAAATTTATGGATTCGTCTAATGATTGATTCTATCTTCGATTGTTTTCGCAGTGGCCAATTCATATTCCGAACCTCAGCACTGGTCTTGAAAGAAACGCCGGACGCCGTCGGCACTGTTAAACCGGGGATCAAACGCACCTTGAAGTTGAAAGAAGACGTGGAAACTTCCAATGCTCTGGTTCCTCAGCCTTCGGCCAAAGACTCATATGCCAGACCTGAACCTAGGAGCTTCTCTTCTATCATGATGCACGATATGAATCTGGTTCAGCTCCAAGTTGACGTCGACGCTCAACGGGACGACATTCAACGTATCAATGATACTGGAGCAAATGTTGTGTCTTCGTTCCATGGATCAATGTCTCAGCTAGAGAGGCAGGTCCTGAAGCTGACAGATTCGCTCCAAGCGATGAAAGATGACTGGAAGCGACAGCAGGATGAACTTAGCTCTGTCAAATCAGAGCTGAACCAGTACAGATCAAAGCCAAATCGAAAGAGCGCCTCTATTTCCGATTCGGAGACAACAAGTCTTAGGAACGATTTGTCTTCGGTGAGACGAGAGCTGACACGGGTCCGTGAAGAAAACGCTCGCCTGAGGGATGAAGCCATCGAGACGCGGGACCTTGCGAGACAGGGGATTTTCGCTGCCAAAGAATGCGCGTTGGAGGTTGCCGCCTTGAGACGACAATTAGGCGGACAGACCGATACGCCAGTTAAACCTCCGGTTACCAAGCCTTCAAAGCCAGCAGCGCCCCCGAGGCGCCCTTCAGCCCCGAAACCAAAGCCCATAGAAATCAAAAGGGACGAAGATTTAACAGATGAAGATCTCCCGGTTGAAACTAGCAGCAAACCGCAAATTTCTTCCGAGGATACCGCTCTACTGCCTCGACTCCACGATACAAAGCAGCCGAAGCCTAAGCCTGGTCACAAACGCACTCTGATGGATTTGATAGATGAAGATGATGAGGATGAGGTTGACCTGGTCACGACACCGAAGCGTGCTGCTCACAATACAGAACCCGACTTGAACCCCAGTGCGGAATCCTCGTATTTCAAAGGGCTGTGGATGTCATCTTCGCCCATAGCTGGAGATCCTGATTTGGACACGGCTGTTCAGGATCACACAACTTCTGGACTCTTGAACAAGAAGTCGAGAAAGGGGGGCCTCTTGAGTTTCGGTAAACGGTAGTCTCTAGGCTATCATCTGGAATGAAACTTACCTGACGTCAAGATCTGAACTACCCCGAGACGATTTGCAAACCTTATTGGCTGCCTCTAAGATGCATCGTTATTATTTCCATCTGGTTGTATTGATGTTTTATCTACCGAATTCCTGCTTCACAAGCTCTTCCCCGAGGGATGCAAGCCTGTGGATCGGATCTATTACAGCGTATTGGAAGAAATCCTTTGACCACTCGCTTTGTGGCTCGGTGTTCCATCTCTCAATGAACGAGAGCTCTTTTTCCCGCCCAGGGAGTTGTTTCAATTCGTCTAGTCTCTCTGATGCGAGGAGGGATAATTTGAATTTGTCACTAAACCCAGCTGGCGCAAGACGTTTCGCGAGCAAGAGCAGCATCTGATAAGTCGATACTTGATCAATTTCCCTGAGAGCTGCTTGGATCTTGGAACTGGTGCCTCCTCCCGTTAATTGCGAGGGAGATGATTGTGCCATTTGTTCGGCGGTGTGAGGGGCTGTGTTGCTGAGCAGGCTCGCAAGGTGAACCAGCTCCTTTATACGGACGGGGTGGAATGGCGCTGGGTATCGATAGGGAGTACACTCTATCGCTACCAGACTTTGAATGGCGAGAGCACTTGTATAGTCCTCTTTGTTCACAAAGTAGTTTGAGATGGCAGTGAGAAGTTGTGGTACGGGTGGTGCTGCCCATGCTCCAACAGCCACAAGTTCGCGGCAGGCCTGGAATCGCTCACGGAGCGTCAGAAGCTTGATGTCCCCGTCGTTGAACTCATCCGTCCGGATGATGCCTGAAAGCTCATCTACGGCGGTGGTGACGCGCTTGGAGATGGCAGAGTTAGTGATGATGGGGAGCTGTGAGACCTTTGACACCTCGGGCGATAAGCTGAGGCCATTGAGATCCAGGTTACTTGAGGCCGAGCAGGCTTGGTAGATGTTCAAGTTATCTCTGCACCGGAGACACTGGCAGCTGAACATGTAAGAGTCTATAGCCTGACGTCGTTTTGGCAACGGCATCGTCACATCTAAATGCATATTGTTAAATCAAGGCAAGCCTTCACAAGGGGAAACCCATTCTCGTGCTCACCCGTGTAGGAGATCTCAATCTCATCCCCAGCCTCTAGCTTCGTTTCAGCCCTGAGGACTATTTTACCATCAATAAATTGGATCATGGCATTAGGCAGACACGAGTGGTTCATCATCGCTAATGTAGGCTGGATGAACACACACGCCTCTGTGAAATCCTCGTCTGTCCAGTTGAAAGCATTGGTCTGGATCTATTTGGATTCAGACCGTTAATATAACTCACTTGACCAAACTATGACTAGAAAATGAACATACCTTGCACAGCTGCTCAGCAGCCTTCCTCACCGTAGCCTCATCCACTCCCTTCCCGGCATACGAGCACGCAGCCATGGCCATCAACTCCACATCCCTCCACCCAGGCCGCGCCCTCCTCGCCGCAACATGCCCCTCCAGGGATTCCACGCCGTCCCGGATCCCCTCCACCAGCAGCACCTGCAAGAGCAGACGCACAGGCGTGGGCAGCTGGCCCCTCCGCTCGGCGGGAACCCGCTGCAGGGCCTTACACTCGAGCTTGTGGACGCTCTGCCACGCCGCGCGCTGGCAGGCCGCGTCGCAGTAGTAGGCCGAGCGGCAGCGGGTGCACGCGCGGGGGGTCCCGAGCTCGAAGCAGTGGGAGCAGCGGGAGGCGAGGTGGGAGAGCGTGGGGAGGCAGGCGAGCGGCTGGGCGGCGAGGATGACGGCGCCGGGGGGGAAGCTGGTGGTGGCGTGGAGGGAGCGGCCCTTGGATGGGTTGGGGCGGACTTGTACCGCTGGGAATGGGGAGGATGCTATGGGAGGTGGCATTTTGGATGAGAATCTGGGTTGAAATTTGTGTTTCTTGTTGTTGAGAAGTTGAATCTATTTTATTTCTTGGTGTGGGGACGCTCATGATACTGGTTTATCGTTGGTGATGTCGCTTCCAAAACAGTGGAAAACCAAATAGGCAAAACCACCAGTTTGGGTATCTATCTATAGGGGAAATCTCGAATTTGTAATTATATATACTATAGCATTTATTCGTGCGTGCCTTTTTCTTTTCTCTTCAATGTATGAGCAGAACGTGAAAAACTCAAATTTGCATATTCATTAAATTCACTGGCTCTAATGTTGTATGTCTACAGTTCTCTATTATTCTTAGCCTTGGGCTGGCTCTTTCTCGCCTTCCCCAGCCTCGTGTTCAGATCATGGCTCCAATGCTCCTTGTCTTTGCCGTTGCTCTTCTTGATTCTCGCCACGTGGTAATCCCAGCACCCTTCGGAGCCCGAATCCTTACCGCTCTGGCACTGCTTATCGCCCAGCTTGGAGGAAGTTGGCCACTGACCGAGGATGGCGCCCATGTCTTCGTCCAAGAAGTTGTCAAGGGCTAGCTGACCGACCTTTCGCTGCGCGCCGGCCCATTCAGCCTGCTCGGGGATCAGGACCCTCAGGAGCTTGCTCATGCCGCCATTCTTGAGGAACTCGGCCCTGATAGTGTCGTCCTTGATGAGGCCGTTGATGACCCCGACCTTGGCCCTGATGCGAGATGCGGCGGTGCGCCTCTCAGAGCTGCTTGTCAGATCCCCCGAAGCCACCAGGGCGTTCCCGTAGAACGCATCTCCCAAGGAGCCTTTTACGTCAGGGCAGGGGCTGTTCAGCATGATCGACCAGGATCCTGCTACTTGCTCAAGAGCCTTGGGGTTGTTGGACAGAGTTCCGGCCAGAACAGAGGCGGCCTGCTGGTCGCGGGGTGGGAGGCTCTGGTCGGCCGCATCGTTGCCTCCTGGCCGGGTCATGAGGCAGAGGAGCGAGTTGACGGCTTCAGTGTCCTCGGCGATTTTGAGGCCGTAGTATATGTCGTGAGAGATGTCCTCCAGCGCCTCGAGGGCCTTATCGACCTTGACGTCGGGGCTGGTGGCGGCCTCGGGGCTTTTCAAAAGTTTCAGGTTGTCGTAGAACGAGACAGCCTCCTGGTTTGACCCGGCCGACGGCTTTGGCTCCCTGACCTTTCCAAGGATGTCATATTCCGGGGCGTCCCTTGGGATTGGCGGGGCTTCCGTCTCCTCTGAGGCAGGGGCATCAACGACCATGACGGCCTGATCAACCGGCAGGCCCTCGAGTGCCGGATTGACCTCATCTGGAACATTGATCTTGGCCTCCTTTTTTCCAGTTGTGATGTCCAGTCTTACATGCAGGCCTTCCGGCAAGTGTTGGTCCTCGTGGACAATCTGGAACTCATCCGTTGGCTGGAATATGCGAGGATAACACTCGTCTGGGTTGGATGTGTGACATATCAAGTCCTCATCTGCGACTGGTGAGGGCTGTGGCTCTGAGGCGACAACCAGAGCGGAAAATACGATGAGAAATAATGCGAATAGCCAAATGCGACCCGTTCGGGCATGCGAAGAACGCATTGTGGCTGGTTTCTGCTGGGTGATGTGAGACCCTTTTTTACTGCCAATGACGTCGGGATCAATAACGGAGAGTAGAGCAGTGAGAGAGTGAATGTCGTTGATGGTGTGCGGAATTGGCTGGAATGGACTGGACAAAAAGCTAAGCCTGCAGCTGAGTTCTCTGGGGTATCATGAAAATTTGGTAGAGAACTCAAGGGAGGCGTGGCTGGGATGTGTGAGAGAATAAAAGATCAGGAGTTGTATAATGGAAAGGAAATGACCACGCGAAGAGAGGCTAGTATTTGTATTCGCTCTTGAAAATTAGGTGAGAAGAATCGTGAAGAGGACACATAAATCCGTCTGGATGATTCTATGGCTATGAGTCGTCTGAATGGAAATAGAAACTAACAGACAGAAGCCAAGCTGGCTTTAAGTCTCTAAAAAAAACAGCCCGTGGTACTTCTGGGCCGGATAAAGTACTTCCCTAGCTCACAAAAAGTGAGCATCTAAATGTACCTTGAAGCGAACTAATGTATCGCCCAGAGATGGTTGCATGGCCTCTCCTAATTGGCTGGAAGTCCCCAAAGAGACCCGTGCCCTGTGAAGCTGCTCCAATGGGAAGGCCCCACAGCCATCATGTGAAGGCTGTTGTGATATTTACTTTCTTCGTTTTTGAAGTCAAATAAACTAGGTGATCACGAGGACGATGGAGGCGAATTCGCGCAGTCTTATGGAGACTGGCCATCATGTTCATACTTCGGGGGGGCTTGGGAAGTAAGACAGCACCAGCCAGTAGCTTAAGGCAAACCACGCCTAAGTTTACCATACTCATGTGAGGCTGGTCTTTGCCAGGCAGATATATAAGAACGACGGCCTCAACCAAGCGAAGTACCCGGTGAAAAAAACAACATGCATACCCAGAGCCTTCCATACTGTGCATAACAACCAATCGTTCAAGATGGCACCTGTGTTTAACGCTATCCTCACAATTACAGCTTACCTTGTTCTGAGTGTGCGAGCAGCCCCAGCAATGCAGCACCAACACAATCACATTCACCACCAGCCTCATCATCTGCAACACAACCAATAATATCTAAGTTTAAAGCTAAAACAGGATGATTTTTGTTTGTGTTGCAGAGATAACTTACAACCCTTGGATGCTTACAATGACCTTACGCGATCAAAAGGGTAGCATCTAGAGTAGTCGCCACATTGGGGTGGTGTCATGCTCAGTCGCAAAGCCAATTTGTGTACTCCGGTCACACATGTCTTCATTAGACACAACTGCCAACCAAGTTGCTGGGTTGGGCAGCTTCTGGAGGTGGGCAAAACCATGAGCCTGGGAAGATGAAGGGTTTTGAAACGTATAGGGAGGGTTGAAGCGGGCATAAGATGGCCAAATACGCCAATTTCATGCTGAATGCCTTTGATTTTAATGCAATCCTTGTTTGTCAACATGAATCTAATAAACAAATTGATATTTTCCATCAAGCATGGCAAACGCAATTGACTGTCCCTTATCTTAGTGATCTGTAGGGCTCGCTCGGCATCTCGACCCCTGCCCAGGCCCCTGCCAGCCACTAAAGCCCGCTAGTGCCTGGCGCTATTGCACTGGGGCGGGGAGGCCACTCTGCTGGAGACACCGGCTGCAACCTCCCACAGTGGCTGCCCCCATGTCATCAATGCTCCACTGCACATCCCTGGCACATCGAGTCGAATGCACATGAACATCTGCTAATAAGATATACGAGCTGGAGCTGCCACTTCCCAGCCAGACTCTCCCGCTCTGTTTATCGATATCTGAGCCGATATCATCGACTGTCCCTCCTAGCCGTGCCAACCGAGCGCTGATAGGGGTCCTGCTCGTCCGCAGCTGTCCCAATCCTATTCTCCCTCGCCCCACCATCTCCTGGGCGATTAACTCGAAGCTAAGGCACTCGATATCCAACTGCCCAGAAACGGCCAACGCCTCCCCCCTTTCGTCTCGACGAAGACTCCCCCGGATCTTGATCACGATCGAGGTCGCACCCCGACGACACAATCAGCGCCCACGATGCCCTCGCCACGCCGAATTAGGCTCGTCGGCCTGGCCGCCCTGGTCCTGACCGTCTTCTTCTTATACTACACCTCCAAGGTTGAGGGCTCGGCACGCGACCGCAGAGGCGCCGTGAGCTTCTACGACAAGACCGTCAACGCCATGGAAAACAAGGAGAAGGACACGTCGGGAGGGAAGACGGTGATCGACACGAAGACGGGGACCAAGGCCGGACACATCCCCGCGGATCGAGATGGCGACGGCGACGTCGACGCGGACGACCGAGAATCGTCGCTCAAGATGCAGGAGCGCCTCAAGGCGGCAGAGCAGAAGGCCAAGGAGAAGGCAAACAACAAGGCCCCTCTCCGCCCGGACCCTCCCAGTGACGTTGTTGGCGTTGGAAGCTCGGCCGAGGGGCAGGACAAGAAGGCTCTGAGTGACGACGACGAGGAGCTGGGGTCGAAGAAGAAGAAGACTACTTCCAAACCAACAAAGGAAGAGGATGCCGAGGCTGAACTAAACTCAATTCTCAAGAAGGGACCGGGTATGTTTGATTTGTCTTTGAAGAATTCTTTGGGCTTCCTCCAACTTGGGATAGGCAGTTGACTAACGTTGGACTATTCTAGTCATCATTTTCTCCAAGACTTATTGCCCCTTCTCTAAACGCGCCAAGGGTCTCCTGCTCGAGAAATATTCCATCACCCCTACCCCCTACGTAGTCGAGTTGGACGAACACCCTCTTGGACCAGACCTGCAGGATGCCCTTGAGACGTTGACAGGGCGCAGGACGGTTCCCAACATTATGATTAATGGGAAGAGCATTGGGGGTGCCGACGACATTGTTGCCCTGGACAGTAAGGACCAGCTCATCAGCAAGATTGTGACTCTCGGCAGCAACCGTGTCACAATGACGGAGCGATTCACAGCCGGAGAATAACGAGGACAAAGACAAAAATAAATGTCGTTCTTCTTGAAGTAGTCGAGCACGCGGGGCGTACCTGGTCCCAGATCTTCATCCCAGGCTGGGAACTCTTTGTTTCTTCACATTCTTTCACGGCCTCTCACTTGTCGAGGACTAAGGAATGAAATGAATGGATAGGGTGATCTCGTTCTCGCCGACTGTCCGGTCTGCCTGTATACATACGGCAAGATATTAATTCTAATGATTGCATGGTTGGGTCCTGAAGTTGTATCAACAGGAAAGTAATGGGCAGTATTTCGAGTTCAGTCTTGATATGACTTGTATTACCTTGGCTGCGTAGGGACCACAGCCCCTACTGTTTAGTATCATGGTCATCACAGGGTTTGCAGGCGTTTTAGGTTTTGAAAAATGAGACTTTTTACTTTACTCGTCAAAGACTTCCGAGATTTCTAACGCTCGGGCGTCTCGAGGGTAAGGGCTTCTTTGCCCCTTGTTGGTACGTATCCTTGAATCACCAACAACGGGATCTATAGCCTCTCTCCTGGGTCAACTTGTTTGATGCCCATTGTTCTTACAACAAACAAACCTATTGTTGGTTCTAGATAAGGGCTTGTATTCCAGTCAACTGGCGCCGGTATTGAATCACTGACCTTGAGGCATCGATCGGATAAACTGGAAGCGCGTCAAGTTCAAAAGGCTGCATTGTGAGTGTTTCGAATTGCTACCACATTGTGCATTGATTAAGCCTCGTCTTTCGTCTATAAATCCCCCCTTTGTTCCCCTTCTCATCAGATTTCTTTCTTTCTTTCCTTCTTCATACTCTTTCAACTCATGATCTCGTACATTAAGGTTGATTTTGAACTGGGTTGAACCTTGGTTTTCATCAATAAACTTCCCTTCTACACCTGGTTCATCGGAATAATTCTTCGTATCTTCATCCTCTGTCAACCCAGATTGTTGCACAGCACGCCTGTTTTTGAACATCTCTCATTGAAAGCCTACAGCTTCCTTGAACACATTAAATCACTATCTCTTTGCAGCCTACTCCGCATAACCCTCCAAGTTCTGGTTGCTTGGACACCACATTCACCTCCTCTGACTCTTACAACTAACCCGATCCATCTACTTTCTCCCCCTCCTTCTCATCATAATGGCTATCCCACGCCTTTGTGACGATATTCTATTCAGAATTATAGAGTTCTCCGACATGGACACAGTGTCGTCCCTGAAGAAGGTACCTGTGAGTAAAAAAACTCACTGGCTGGCTAGTGTTGAAGTTCTCGACTAAAATCTTTGGAATAGGGATTTAGACACCTTATTCAAACTTTTGAAACATCCATCGTAAAAAACATCCACCGCATGTCTACGATGGCCGCCCTTAGCGAAGAACGCTTCCCTTTCGTCCTGAAATACGACCTCACCGCCCTCAAGAAGGCCTCTGCCGATCAAATAAAGGCGGCCAAAAAGTCAGGGAGACAAGACTACCCACAAGCGAAGCCGACACTAGCCGGCATGAACACCTTTGTAGCTGTTGAGGAGCTTCAGAGGCGCGAACATGATGTCGAGGTGTTGCTCAGAGCTCCCTCCCTCCTCATCAAAACTTCCCTTGATGGAATACCCCATAGTTGGCCAGCCTTGCCAAACACAAACTCACGGAGTCTTCTTCAGGCTCTTCTCAAGAGGGCCATGACCCGCTGTGACGTCCTGGTCGACATCGAGGGGCGGGCTATGTCTGAAGTGGACGAGACATCGTTCTGGTATATCGGCATCCCAGAGGGGCCCCAGATGATGCGCTGGCTCACGTCCTGCTACACGCTCAAGTATCAGGAGGAGTACCTTCGGAGTTTGCCCCTCGACTCGCTCATCGAGCTCTACTTCCTCGGCACATACCTCGCCGAGTGCCGCCATAAGAAGACATGCAAGCCCACCATGGATCTCAACTACTTCAAGGAAGAGCACGTCTTCCAGGAGGCGGTGCTCCGCCACGGCAGCTGGGCCATGTTCAATGAGTTCCGCGGCAGTGGCGGCCGGGCGAAGCACGACCGGGAGATTCGCGACCAGATCCGTGAGGGCATGGCCCTCCGCCCCAACGAGGATCCAACCCGGGCCGAGGTGTGGCACCTCGACGGGCTCAGGACGGCCCTGCACCACATGCTGCTCGGCCGCCTGGGGGGCGAGCACATCCGGGAGATCGGGTGGCTCCGCGCCGAAGTCTACAAGCTAGTCGGGGCCATGATCGAGGCTCCTGAGGCGTTCGAGAACCCTCCTTCTTTGGAGGGACGCCCCGATGATACTCAGGGTGTTAACTCTGAGTGGTTCTAAAGGCTGTGATAATTTACCTTTTGTGCTTGGTGACTCACCAGCGCACTTGCTCGTTGAGCTGTACCTTTATCGAATTCCGGCTGGTGTCCGGAGTTGTCTGGACGTAAATATTGAGCGGGTTTGATGTGAATATGATTATACGAGAAAAAAGAACTTTGACGATTGTGACGATGGCTGGCGGGGAATGTTTTGTTTGCATTGGCATTGGGAGAGCAGACCGATTGGGTCTTGAGTTTTTTGATTGAGCTTCTTGGTAGATTTTGGAAAGAGTATCAATAACCTCCATTATAAGATATAATTTCATTCAGTAATCTCATTCCAGGTGGCAGATGCTCGTTCGTACTTTGGCTGAGGAGCTTGCACTTGATATAAGCGAGAGACCTGGTTCATTTGATTACAATGAGAAGGATGGTGCATAGCCTACTGCGTGCTCAACTACCCAGTAATCAACGAATGAACAATACATCCTTCTTAATATCAGTACTAGAATGCAATAGAGTATTGACCGAATGTATTATTTACTGATACTGAATCAGCATCAGTGAAGTAGGCATCATTCAAAGGCGAATGAGGTGAGGCTAAACTCGAGAAACTTGCGGTTGGGAGAATATACAATAAACTATCGCACCAGACATCAGTCGTTTCACTCCTGCTCCTGATCCTGTCATCAGCAAGAGCTGATATGTGGAGTCTTGAGGATAGATTCCGCGTCGTACAACATACTTGATATGTTAGCAACAAGCATGCCGGTCTGAGTAGGTGAATAAATTGTAGTATGGCTTTTTTCAATCCCATAGTCATTTCTAAGGTGACCGCTGGTAACAAATGTGGCTACTGCTGGAGTTCAATGGCATGGACTTCAACAACCTGCGTCCTCGATAGGCTTGTGGCTAGAATTCTGAGTTTGGACTTGAGCTTACTGCCAATATTACAAATAAGAAAATCACCGATAGTCAACTAGACACGACAGACATTATTGAGAAATAGCCTCCCTACCAATCCTAAAGCGAGCAAGCCTGAGCATATCCTCACACCCTCGATGCCCGTTATCCTTTGCATATTTGCTCGCGCTCTCGATATCAGTTGATGTATAAATGCTCTTGCCTCCTATAAGTAGTAAATCAAGTACGCTGACTCGTCCATGCTCCGCTGCCCCTTGGAGGGCAGTACGTCCATTGACAGCAGAAGGCGCCTCATTGATCTTGGCTCCTAATTCTAGAAGAAGTCTGACAATTCTGACATTGCCTTGGATAGCTGCAAGTTGTAAGGCAGTCGCGCCTCCATTCATCGCTGGAGGAGCGTCAACATCTGCGCCTCGGTCTAGCAGATATTTCACCATCTGAAAGCTGCCATGTTCACAAGCTTGCTGAAGAGGGGTGCGTTTCAAACCATGTTTTGCTGGTCGATTGATGTCGGCTCCTTTTTCCAGTAATAGCTCTACCACAGGTATATTGTTCGATATGATGGCCTGTAACAGTGGGCTGACGTATGTGAATGGTACCCGATCGGTTACTTCCGGGTCTGCACCTGCCTCGAGGATCTGACGGATTATCGGATAAAGGATCGCATGGTTCTCCCATACCATTGCGATCGCCCTAATTAGAACGTCTCCCCTCCAGAAGGGATCCTCAGGCCGAGAATGAATGTCTAGTTTTGCTTGAAGGAGGAAGCCGAGGGCAGTGATATCCCTGACTTCGATCGAGGCCGCAGCTAGAGCCACCCCACCAAAGCCTCTTATCCCATTCGGATACCTTGATGAAAATGCCGAAACAAGTATCGGGAGAAGCGACTTGTTGCTACTATGGACAGCCCCTCCAAGTGCATATTCATTCGCTGGATCTGCCCCGTGGCGTAGCAAGAGGCGCACGATGGCCTCGTCTCCTGTTGCAACCGCCGCCTGCAGGCTCTTAGGGCGAGCACCCCACTCTAGAAGGAGTCTCACAAGTTCGACATTATGCGTTTCGACCGCAGCCTCAAGAGGTGAGTTTGTTGGTCCAGTGCCGAGTAAAAGCCTAGGATCCAGGCGGACAAAGTATTCAATAATATGCCTACCATCGACCAGTGCAGCTTCCCTTAACATGTCACTAATGATGAAATTAGAGCCGTCCAAATATTCTATGACCTGCTCTAGGAATTCTGAGCTCCCACGATTTCGTATGATTGCAGATATTATCTCCATCGTGTACTGGCCTACCATGGGATATTGGGTTATCAAATCCCAGGCAGCCTCAAAGTGCCCGGATACTATTGCATCCTGAATAAGATAAAAACCCCCTTTTGCAGTGAGACGAGGGTCCGAATTAAGAAGTTGTTGGAGATAGGAGAAATTGCCAACTTTCCTTGATGCTCGAGTTGCCGCTTCGAAGTGAAGTTGTCCTTTCTCAGATAACAATGCATAGAGTGCCCCGCAGTTCTCAAGACGATGGATGAGCTCGGTGTTTTGCAGGCGAATGGCTTCGGCTAACGGCGTTGTTGGTTTGCACCGTTCTCCTTTTGCACGACCAACTGGGCATTTTTTATCCATTCCTTCTTCACCCGTTTCTTCTTTAGCCCACCCGAGAGAATCAGCGGACGCATAATAGAGATGCTTGAAACACATCATCCTTCCATGAGCAGAAACGCCATGATCTAAGATAGAGTCTATGAAGGCAAGGTTCCCCACGTGAACCGCAGCTGTGAGGTGTCTATCGTCTGGCTTGACTATAGCCAAGAGGTACTCAGTGAGCTCAGTGTTGTTTCTTAAAATGGCAAGAATAAGCGCTTCTTTCAATCCTTCAGAATGCTTTCCCACGGATGAAAGCCCGAATTGAATATCTGCATATATGCTCAAAAGGCTTTGAGCGATAACATTTGCAGTTCTATTTTCCAATTCTTTTATAATCTTATATAGAAGTGGCTGAATAGTCTTTGCAAATTTCATTGGCTTCCCGGCAATGTTGCGGTTGAGAAGCTCGGGATAACGTTCTTTGGGAATTTTTTGAAAGAGAACTCCTAAGAAGTTGCTGCCCATTTCTTGTGAAATTCTATGGGTATAGGAAGATTTGGTTCTCAGATCCCAGAGATCGGTCTCCCATATTTGATACAGAATACGGACGAATAAGTCCGGGGCATCTGGCAGTCCGTAAATAGCTATTGATTCAAAGATCTGTATGACTTGTTCCAGCAGTTGGGGGTCGGGCTTTGACTTCAAATTGCCAAGGAGCGCATTGAGCGGGCAGCTACAGAATTTCACTTCCTCAGTGGCCCAGTCTCTGACTTTGGCACCCTGAAGGAGAAGAGTATTGACGATTCCTGGGTGGACTCGAGAAGATGCCAACGCGATTGGCGAATACCTAGCCCCATTGCTAAGAATTGTTTCATCAATATCAATCTCGTTGTTTCTACCGGAAGTTGTTTTTAGTACAATGTCGACCACTTCTTCATTTCCCGCATCTATAGCAGCGCGAAAGAGATTCTTAGCAAGAGGCTTTGAAATCATGCGGTCATCTGAACGTAGCCACTCGAGAAGAAAAGACTCTATCCCCGGAACAAGCCCAAGAAGGCTAAAAATGGTGGTAAATCCGATGCCTTCAAGACCAGCGAAGTTGTTAACAATAGAGTAGAGGATTTTCCCAGAGAATTCCTGTAGCGAAATGCTTTCGTAAGAAGCTTGTGTTGAGCTCGATGCAAAGTCTTTCCCGCAGATATTTGCTACTGGCAGAGAGACCAGTCGCTCAATTGAAATCGAGAAGGAAGGCCTGAGGTCATCGTGCCATAATGACGGAACGCTCGGAAGCTTATTCCGAAGAATGGACTCAATTTGATTGCTGAGGGAACTTCTCGGAGGGGTTATTGAAAAGGGCATATATGAGATAGGATTCCCGATCTCATTGTCCCATGCGCTGGACAGATCATATCCGTCAAAATCGATATCTAGCGTACTGGGAATCGTACATGACTCAAGAACTGAACTAATCAGCTGATCTGGATTTTGGAGGCCTGGATCATCCAGCGAGTTTGAGCAAGGATAAAAATCCATGGACTCTACCTCGGTTGTGTTTCTTATAGAAAAACTGCTGAGGGGGGGACCAGGTTCAATGTGTAGTCTTTGGTCACTGGTGACAAGGAGATCATTTTGCACATCTCCTTGGCCGATGTTTGAAGAATCCGTGATCCCAAGGGAGTTACTAGCCAAACAAGTACTAGAATATCCCGAATACTGGCCGTCAGCCTGTCGGACTTCTATACACCAAAGGCGTGCATGTATCTGATCGGAGGAGGGAGCGTGTTCTGAATTGTACCTGTTAGCATCTCTCCGTAGAATAACGCATGTCTTCTCATACCAGGATTATCCCCATTCGTCACAAGACCTGCTTTCAAATACTCTCGACGAGCTCTCTTGACTTTACTCTCCGCAAAGATGTGCTCTCCAACCCGTACTCGAGGAGCATGGCCTTGTCTTTCCAGCTCATTATAGAGTGGCAGAATAATTTCCCAATCGCACTTTCTTAGATTCTTAGTAGCACCCCATGATCTAATTTTGATTTCATACTGAGAGGCTCTGGGAACCGTCAGCTACCTCAAATACTAGCAAGGACCAATTTTGACTTACGTTGCCTGAAAATCGTGCTGGTCCTGCATGACCTGCATCAGGTTTCTCCCATTTTCGGCGCTTCCTTTAAGAGGCAGTTTCTCAATCAACCAGAGATCGAGGATCGTCCTTTTGTGCCTCTCCCAAACCTTTGGGGGGATTTTTCGGGTAGAAGGTGGCATGATTGACATTTAACACTATCTTGACGTTCAATCTCAAGAGTTTTTAGTCCAGGAAGCGTAGAAGGAGAGAATAGTATAGTTCGAGGTTTCTTTTATTATTATAAGGTTCAAAGAAGGACCGTCTGGGGCCAGACATTGATGTGCACTGGGTGGGCTCCGGGGTCAGGTTTTGGCATCAGAGTCCGGCGTCGGGTTTTGGCACATGAGATTCGGTATCAGGTTTTGTTACACACGTCAGGCTGCATTGCATTTTCATCAAATCAGCCAATCGAGTGTTGCCGCGTTTGATGTGTCTGCCTTCCACCAGCCACTGACAGAATCTGCCATCAGAACCGCCTGCCCTATTGCTTACCACCTTTGCCCAACTTGGGCTCGGGCATCCAGGCAGAAATCCTTCGCTCAATCTTTCCCGAAGGTAGTAAAGAAAGAGCCTCGTTAATTAGCGATGGTTCAAAGAACGCATGATAACGAGGGCTCTCTTAGAAGTCCCTAACATAGTATTGAAACGAGCTTACCTATAGTGGTTTGCTCTGATCCTTAAAACTACATCTTACATCCTCCAGTTTCGGTGTAAGTTCATGTCAGTACAAGTTCTCCATAAAAAGGTGTCTCAAAGCCTAACATGCACTTTCCTGCCTCCTTCCGTCAGGACTAATGTTAATATTAATCCGATGGTGACCCTGTAGCAAAAATAAAATAAATTATGACGAATTTTCACACACTCAGACTCAAGATACCGCGTCCGGAACCGACTAGAGAGATGACGTATTTGAAAGGCATTTCGCCAAACCCCCTCGGCGTAAGGAATGGAAACAATCATAAGCCATTAGACACAGGATAGCCTTCAGCCGTTAGCCTTCAAGCGAGACTAGGTTGTCATCATCCCTTAGACAAGGATTCTGGGGGAGGACGCCAGCTACGGACTCTCATCTTGATGCAATAACACTTCCATACTTCCTTCATGTGGTGTCTTCGATTTGTTTGGTGGAATCCGAGTCAGAAATTGCAAGACGTCCGAGATCAAACATTCTCTCCGCTACCCCAAAAGTCATTAGTTGAGATATTGATACTCGAAGCTCATTTGTAGGCCATGATAACTCACCTTGGGTACTGTGAAAGTTCAGTGTGTTTAGTCCCTCCTCATATTTATAGATTTTCCGTTCCCCTTGGCCTTGTAGCTGAACGAGGTAGGTTGGCGATCTATAATTGGGGCGGCCGTTGGGTTGAGTAAAAAAATCGTCCGCCACTTCATAGATCAGCAGTGATTTACAGGTCGTGCTTCGATAAGACATTTCAGCAACTCACAGACTTGGCTCAGTATCGTACATCGATTCCGGCTTAGTATGATCATCCGGAAGCGGCCAGAGGAATTCCGGACAATAAATATTTCTGCGTCAGAAATATATATGTCCTCGGTTTGGACCTGCGCTGTTTGTCTATCCATCACTACATGAGTTCCAGACCAGATTGGGGAGAAGGGGTATCTCACAGATGCAAAACAACATTCTCTTCTATCTGAGGGTACTCTAGGCTGAGTGCAAAAAGTTCCAAGCGCATGGCCTCGAGTTTGTCGTAGAAGTCTCTCGCGGCTAGGATAGCAGTCAGTAGAGCATCTAGACCGGTATAACCATAGTAATTTATCGTACTTTCAGTTCTAGCAAATTGCAGATTCACATCAACATTTTCGATTGTGCTGGTACAAGCTTCGTTGGAGTACCCTAGACACTTGACCTTCCGAATTGCGACCTGGGCCTCTTGCTCGGAGAATGACATGGATGTATTGCTTCTCACTAGTTTATCATGAGCGTAATTCTTCTCAAAGTGTTACTTGGCCGTCATTTCTACCTTGAAGAAGGTTTCGTGAGATGTCTCCAAGTGTCGTGTCCTCAGTTTCATCATAGAACAGAAGAATTTCTGCATATTCACAGAACGGGTTTTGCACTTCAGCAGTACTTGAGGGCGAGTCGAATTCAGGCTTCACAGCTCTGTAGTGTAGAAGGTCGACGCCCTTGATCATGCTTCTCTTGTAGGTTCTAGTCCCTACAGTAAAGGTAATGGATTCAAAGTCTTCTCCTGCGCTGCTTACGTTGCTACATAGATGCCAGTTAGATACTATGACCCTATAGATACATTATAGATATGTCTTACCCTCGTAAATTTAATACGTAAGCTTGTTGCGTGTGCGGCTCGATGTGAGCGAGCATGTTGTTCATACTTCGCGAAAACATAAGCTCCGCTTTGGCTTCAGAAAGCGTACGAATAAATATCTGCTCAAACTCTTGTATGTCTGCAAGGAAATGATCTTTAGCATAAATCAAATCGATTGGAACATCACTCTTACAGTTCAATGCTACGTTCCGGATGATGATTGCCACCATTGTGTTGTGCAAAGTATCAGCAGCCTTGTAAAGCATCCATGATTTCTGCGACCCAACGAGGCTGAAAGGGAAAGTGAATGGAGAAACTGGATATAACTCAGTAAGTTGATATATGCTTTGTTGAAAATACAACACTTACATGCATATATGGAGAGCGCAGAGGAATGATCGCCCTGATTCATCCCCGATGATAAGCTGCAATGACAAGTGAACAAGGGATATTGGTCATCCAGATTTTCTTTTGAAATTCCCAAATTCCAATGTTCATGAAGGCTCGCACGGGAACAGATCACTCGCGCTCCGCCCATATCCTGGCCGAGACAAACTTCGAAAGTAGTTGCAGGAGGAGCTGGGTTAGGTGTGGCTGGTGGACGATGGGTTATTCCATGGACCTCGATGTCAGTTATTGTCATGCTTTCAATAAACCAGTCATATATCTCTTTCATCATATGAGAGTTCTCGTGTAGGACTTTTTCGATGCGCTTTGTGCGAGAGCTGCAAAATGATGTTAACCTGGGCTGTTCGGTATATGCTGGCAGGCTGCATGAAGGCTTGGCCTACTTGCTTATCACCCCAAGGATCAGATCTAAGCTGTTGGTGTGAATCGTTATTTGATTCCTCAACGAGTCTAGATTGCCCTTTTCTGTTGTCCAGGCGATCTTTTTGTAGTCTTTAGTCAACACTTTTGCCCATTTGCTCATTGTTGTCTCATCCACATCATGTGGTTCGACCATGGCACCATATTTCTTCATTGTTTCCTCCAAGTGCTTCAATGTTCTGCCACAGCTCGTTAGGACCTTTTTCAAAGTCTCACCAAGGGCTTCTTCTTCGAGAAGATGATCAGTCTGGGGCGTGGAACTGTCTCCCGTTGAGTTGGGGGTGCCCTGATTGTCAAATGCATTTTTCAAGGCCGTCAGAGCAGCGACCAGAGAATACAGCTGGTCTTCCAATTCATGGAATTCTCTCGGTGCTGACTTGCGGCCCTTCGTTAGAACTTGTGCCACGTTCCACGCCAGCTTGGATATGAGGAACGCGTCGCCGATGCCGAATGAGAATTCCATCTGGAATCGCTCGCTGAACCCGTAATTACAATAAATCCCTCTCAAATAATATATGGGTGAGTGATACAAGACCAGGAGCCGTTCAATTAATGATGATGGATTGAAAATCCAAGCTCCAGCTGTCAGAAGGATCTGCATTTCTGCTTCGCCAAGGGCTACCGTCTCACGCAATGTAACGACGTATTTTCTGCCTGCATAAATATAGCATGCAAGGCATTCTCTGCCTCACCGTAGTTCGCACGGCTTTTTAAATACGTAGCTCCTTCCATCCAGAGGCAGCGGTACATTCTCCTTTCCCACCAAAACACCGAGCAGAAAACCACAGAACTATTGACGAAAATGAGTATTTTCGGACCTACCATATCTTGGGACCCTCGTGAACCGCTCCCACGCGAGCTCCAGCGTCAAAAAGGGAACCTGGCAGCCAGGAAATACGACGCAAGTTCTCGCAAACGTGGTATCACTGGAAATGCCCCATTTCAGGTCATGAGCTACGTACAGGCTCGACCAAAAGATCTAGCAGCAAAACAAGATAAATTACCAGATCTTACCACAGAAGAAGAAGGACAGAACCTGCTTGCGCCTTGGTCAGTCGATATTGACGCATCTATTGTGCAGGACACCGCTAGTGTCCAGGTCACTCAAGTGTTTTGGAACAACTCCACTGTGCTCATCCCTCAAGGAACGTACACGTTCCCTCTTCCCACAGGATGCAGCGTGACAGAATTTACCTGTCAGGTTGGGTCGAGGGTATTGAAAGGAACTGTGAAACCCAAGAAAGAGGCCCAAGAGGCCTTCAATGACCATGTTGCCGCTGGCCGCATGGCAGGCCTGTTAAACCAGGACACAACAGAAATCTTCAGCGCTACGCTAGGCAACATTCCCCCAGATACAAGAGTGACGGTCAAGATATCCTACATCACATTGTTGAAGTATCACTTGGTCTCTGACGAGGAGAATAAGGAGACATCAACATTTACCATTCCGACCTGTATTGCCAGCCGATACGGACCGCAACCAAAATTCGCAGGGACAACCACCACAGTTCTCAAGCAGGGACTCACTCTAAACATCAAAGTTCTAGATTCTCGTGTCATGCACGCGATTCGAAGCTCTACTCACAAGATCAAGGTCGAGGAGCAGGCTCAGGTTCGAGCTGCGAATAGCTGGGCAGACCTAGCCGATCAAAATCCTGGCAAGGCACTCTCAGGCCAAGCATCAGTGGTGGAGCTGGACCAGGGTCTTATGTTTCTTGACAAAGACTTTGCTTTGGAAATAGTAGTTGATGGCGGTAAAGGAAAGGCTGCTCCTCAGGTTTGGATCGAACACCACCCTGTGGATCCTAATCAGGCAGCTTTGATGGCAATTCTTCCGCCTGGGCTTCTAAACCAAATACCAAAGCCCCCGGCTCGTCAGAGGGAGATTCTATTTCTCGTGGATCAATCCGGTTCGATGGGGGATAAAATAAATTCCCTCAAATCAGCCATGCATTTCTTCCTCAAAGGCATTCCACTGGGAAACAAATTCAACATTGCACGTTTCGGTTCAACCTTTACAAGTTGGTGTCCCCAATCAGTTCAGTATTCGGGGGAAAGCCTTGAAGCAGCCTTGGCGTATGTGTCATCCTCTATTGATGCCAACATGGGAGGAACTGAAATCCTTGGCGCAGTCAAGTCAATACTAGGGTCCAGAGACACCAGGATGTTGACGGACATCATTATTCTTACTGACGGGCAAGTCTGGCGGCTCGACGAGCTACTAGCAACGGTGAAGGACGCGAGGAAAGCATCAGGTAATCGAATTCGCTTCTTCTGTCTCGGTATAGGTGAACGGGTTTCTCATGCTCTCGTGGAGGGCGTCGCCAGCATAGGAGGTGGTTATGCAGAAGTTGTCCCGGCAAGTGAGCAAAACAGCTGGGAAAGCAAGCTCTTGTCTATGGAAGCTGCTTCGGTGGAAAACGACCCGATTGAGGAAGTGAAAATATACCTAGAAACATATGAGGGCAAAGGTGAGTCTTTTCCTTTATAGAATTTCTCGCACCAAGGCTAACGTGGTCAAGCAATTCATTGTCCGACCAGCGCCATGTCTCCCTCCGAACTGCAAAACCTCAATCCTTTTATTCGCAATCGCGTCTACATGCTGTTAGAATCAGAGATGACCAAGGATTTTCGGAGTCTCGTCCTTGCCATCACTTTACCGGATGGGACACAGCCGGAGCAAAGATTTCCCCTACAGATACTGCATGGCCGTGACACGACCATTCACAAACTTGCTGCACGCTCTCTCTTGCACGATTTTGAGCATGGGCGGAGTAGTTGTAATATGAGGTCAAATTCTCTCCACGATGGCCAAGCTGAGGCGCTGGCTTGCAAGTGGTCTCTTGCCTCGAAATGGACCAGTTTCTTTTTGGGCGAGGAGACAAAAACACTCGAGGATGATCTATTGGGCTCATTAGTTGTTATTTCTGGCAGCAGGAAAATCCCAGATTTATTGGGGCAAGGACATATGGGCGGACCACGCTTCGCAACCAAACTCAGCTATGGTAGACTCGGAACCCAAAAGGGCGTAGGAACCCCAATGGGCGTAGGACCCTCAATGGCCTGCATGAGCCAAGTGCAGCACTATATGTGCGCACCTGGAGCCTATATGGAGTTCGTGTGGCCTGACCTATCCCCGACCAATATTACATCACCATCAGACCGAAACCAACGTTTTTTCAAACTTTTATTGGGCCACCAACGGTTTGATGGTTCATTCGAATTCGCCACAGATGAGGATTTCGTTCGTCTTCTGGGGCAAGATACATTTGATGCTGTCGCCAGTCTGGTCGACCACACGCTCTCCAGGTCTCTCTATTTCACGATCGCTGTGACCCTCATTCTAGAGCAGCATTTCGCATCCGAGAAGCAGTTCTGGCACATGATGCACTCCAAAGCTTCCACTCATATCAAAGACGCCCATGACCGAGTTACCAACCACGAAATGGAAGTCTTCCGTGACAAGTTACGGCGTGTAAGATCCCCATTACATCAGGTCGGCATGCAGCTTGAACAGCTAAATGGCAAACGCGGGACGCAAAATATGCCCTCTGAGTGTGCAGATCAAGCTAGCACACGCCTGCGGGAGACGCCTCTAGGTGATCAAGCTGTTAAAGACCACCAAAACATTCATGGTGAAGTAATTGCTCCTGGAGGGGATCGGCCAGAAGATCCTCCGAGGGCAGACCCCGTGACTCGGCAGCCTCGCCGAGTAATTGAGATTGCACCGTTAGACTAGATAGTACCCTTTGCAAGACATTTAGCCCGTTATGACTTTGGCGTCAGCCAGTTCCGGATCAGGCGTCTTGTGCTTCTTGAAATGGAATCAATCAGAAATCAGAGCCCGCGTGGTAGATATAGTATCAGACATCAGATTCAGCCTGTGTCAGTAGCCAAGAAATGGACCTTGCCAGTCTCGGGGCTGATGGAACATCCATCTGGACTGATTGATGACGAGAAGTATCTAGAAAGACCATCATCTAATTTCATTCTGTGGGTTCTACCGTAGGTAATACATCACGACATTGGATACCTAGGCAAAAAAAGAGTAAAGCCAGCAAGTTGGTCTCTCAATAAGCTTTGTCAAGTGAAAGAAAATAACAAAAGTAAAAACTTCTGCTCGAATTCGAACCGAGGACTCTCCTACTACTACCCGTGCAATGCGATGCATTCGCTCTCCCCTCCAACTCAAGGGAGGGGGATGCACCTACAGTTGGTCTGATTATCAGTGTGAGTAGGTAGGTACATACCTACATCACGGGCAGGCGTCATCAGAGCGCGCTGACCTTTGCGCCATAGGGGCCAATGCCCTTATTGAATGGCATGCCGGGGGAAATTGTATATAAGGTATCGGAACAAAGGAAACCATCTTGCTCTTTCTCGAACTGGGATGCGTGAAGCAAGCAACACAGGAGACTCACAATGCCTCAATTATGTGCGAACTATCACTTCCAACGTATATTGAAGCAGTAACAAATAGCCAATGATGAATAACATGAGACCTTGAGTCTTATTCTTCACTCCCTCTATTCCAAAATAAGGTGCCTTATCTAGGACGATTATGGAATATTCATCTATAGAGTTGATTATAAGCAACAATTGTTCGAAAAGACACTGGTTGTGTTTATCCATCATTCTTCTGTCGATGCAGGTGATGATAAGTATACCTCAACAAGTTTAGGCCTTTTTAGCGACAAATGAATACATTCACAAACTTTCCGTACTCTAACATTCAAAGTCCATCTTTGTAGTTGGTGCATCGGCCAAGTAAAGGCCGCGAAATAATGAGCCCGGCTGCTTTGTTCCCAATTACTCAGTCCCCAGTAAATTCAGACTGTCTTTGCTACCTATGGAGTTCCATAGACTTGAGCAAAAGCTGCAGAGTCTATAAGATTCGAGAAATCCGCACTAGACTCACCATACTTCATTCCCAGGCACTCACTCTGATGAGCAAACTCGACCACATTTGTTTTCGATATCAACTGAATAGCTTTGAAACAAAATGTCTTTCCAGAATAAAAATGAAGCCTACCCAGTGGGTCAACCCATCCAAGTCGAATGTTCCAACCCGGAACAGTCCAACCTGAAACTGTCGGTGATCCGACACGATGAGGCATGGACCTCGTCCTGCGGAATGGTCGTTGAGAAGACCCTAAGCTTCGACCAGACGGACCAACCCTGCTCGTGGGTCGAGTCGGAAAAGCATTATTTAAAGCTCTTCGACAGGAGACACGTTAACGAATTGCGATATGATAACACGATTGGCCTCTGGGGTCAACATAGAGAACGAGCCTTTATTGAGGGCATTTCCAACGGCAACGTCGGGCGGCTGCTTTACAGGCTGCACACGGAACCGGATTATTTCAAAAAGACTGAAAGCTACCGCGACTACGCGGATGACGAGGCGTTCCTCTGGAACGAATGCATCGCCTCTTTTCACAGGGAGAGGAATGTTTATTCCGTCCTGTCAAAGTATCAGGGCGACCTGGTTCCATTGCTTCATGGCGATGTCACGCTCGATGTGCGCCCGCCAAACTTCGCGGAATGCTTGCCGGAGGGTATGTTGAGTTTGTTTCAAGTTCGAGGCCTCCTCCTGGAACACCTCGAGGGATTCTCCCTGGCTGATGTCACCAGCCATGCACCACAGTCGTCGTGGCAGGGAATCTTCGACAAAGCCATTAACATCGTGCGTGTGCTCGACGGAGAAGATATTCTCAACCGAAATTTAGGGCTTGGCGACTTTATTGTCATGCCTCAGGAGGATGGCGAATATCGCGTCTGCATGACTGACCTCAGTCGATGCGAAATTCGCAAGGATGACGAATCCGATGCGGAATGGGTGTGTAAGAAATGGTTCGCTGCCGAGGAGGACCGTCTGGCGGGAGCTCTGAAGGATAAGCTCGAGGAGAACGGCGAGTTTGCGCTCGAATTTGAGCCCTCTTTGAAATATTCACAGGTCTGGGAGAAAGACGAGTAGAATGAGAGCAAGTAGATGTGGGAAGATTGGGTAGATTAGACTGTCGATTCAAACACCACTACTATGCCTTTCACTGGCCTTTTCCCACCCGTTATGCCCAACATGTGACAATATCATGTACCTCTTCACTAAAGAACATAGAAATGTTGATTAATAGCTGGAAATCTCTAGAAAGATGTCACTTGAAGATCATCCGTTCGGCTGCTTCCGAATGAAGGTGCATTTCCTCTTTCGGACAATTTCCTAAAAAGGAAATCGACCAGGTTTGGCGATCGATCCAACATGAACTCGGCACTTGTTATAAATCCGGGACCCAACCTGCAGAAAGCTTGTCATGGAGAGCTGGTCGGGAGGATACATGAATGGACTTTTCCTCGTTTAGGTAATCGCGGCCGTTTAATGACCACACTCCGAGTATGCGCACCCAAACCCACATGTGAATAATCAAGGAGCTTTGGTACTTAGGTAGGATATGACGAACAAAGTATAATGTATGGGATGTGTGCACATAGATATATAAAGGGCAGAGGTCCTATTCATCAATCAAACGCCTCTGTATATCCAGTCCAGATAGAATCATACAATCTGAAGTAAACAAGTCCCATACAACCTATCACTCATCACCATCTCAACAAACAGCCAGCCATGTCTTCTCTCCCCACAACCCAAAAGGCCGTGGCCCTCCCCGCCAAGCGCACACCTCTCATCCAAATCTCCTCCCCCGTCGTGGCCCCCGCCGCCGGCGAGATCCTAGTCAAAGTCCACTGGACGGCCTCGACGCCCCTCGACCTCCACAGAGCCGACGGCGGCCTACTCATCCCCTCCTACCCCAGCCTCATGGGCAGCGGCGGCGCGGCCGGGACCGTCGTCCAGGTCGGCCCGTCCGGCGACCTCAAGGGCCTGAAAGTCGGCGACAAGGTCATGGTCTTCGCCTTCCACGGCGGCGTCGAGGCTAACCACCAGGAGTACATCACCATCCCCGCGTACCTCGCCTCCAGAATCCCAGGGTCCCTGAGCATGGAGCAGGCCGTCACTATCCCCGTCAACCTTGTCACGGCGTTCCACACCATCACCCGGGACCTCGACCTCGAGCTGCCCTGGCCGATCCCGCAGGGCGGGTGGAGGCCTGCCGCTGCGGACGAGCCCATCCTCGTCTGGGGCGGGAGCAGTAGCGTGGGCATTTTTGTGATTCAGGTCCTCCGCCACTGGGGGTACACCAACATCCTCGTCACGGCTAGCAGCAGGCACCACGAGTACCTGAGGAGCATCGGTGCCACCGCCGTGTGGGATTACACCAAGCCCGGCGTCGTGGCGGCGATCCTCGACCACGTCAAGGGGCGAAGCGAGCCCCAGATCCCCAGTATCATCGACTGCATCGGCTCCGTCAAGGGGACTCTGGAGCCCCTGAGCAAGATTGCGCAAAAGGGAACCAAGGTGGCCATCATGCTGCCCGTCATCATCAAGGACGCCACCGAGGATGAGGAGCCTGAGTACGAGATGGACGTGTCCAAGGTCCTTGTCGGTCAGTGGGCTGAGGGTGTTATTCCTCGGGGTGTCCGCACCCATTTCTACCTCCAAGTAAGCCTGCCCACCAAACCTTCAATCCATTAACTGTGCGAAATATACTAACATGGAGACTTTTCAGAACGAATTCTTCAAGGAACATCTCCAGCCTGAGATCATCCCAGCCCTGGTTGAGCAGGGCGTCGTCCACCCCAACAACTACCGAGTTGTGGAGGGCAAGGATCTGGTCGAGAGGGCCCAGAATGCGCTTGATTTGCTGAGAGCGCGGGCCGTCAGCGGCGAGCGATTGATTTTCCGGGTAGCTGAGGAGGGGAATTAGTTGAAACAACCAGACCAAGCCTGCACCATTTCGTGTGTTCCCGAGTTAGGAGGAAAGTGTGTCCTGTAAATTGAAATTTACATATTAATGAAAAAAATAACAAGGAGAACTCCTTATGCCGTCCTGTGTAGCCACACCCAGGTGTACCCAATTAGTAGTTGATTCATTTCCATTCATAACCTTGGCCATTTGACTCAGGCCCCCGTCCCGTACAAGAAGAAAACAAGTGATATTCTCCCATCTCATGCGACGGGAACCGACTCGCCCTGAAGAAAATGTTCCACTCCGTCATGGCCAGCTTGACTATCATCCACAGAATCAGTATAAGAAATCCTCTACTTCATATAAAGAGTCAACCGAGAGGGCAAGATATGGTACTACTTACGTTATCAGGAGAAGCCTCGTGAACTCATCCAGATCCTCTGGTCGGGCATATTGCCAGAACTCATCGAACTTGTTGTCTCTGATGTACCACTGGGGGTCCTCGCGCCAAGCCTGGTAGAACTCGACAGAGGTGCCAGCGGACCACAGCCGCTTCGACGCTGTGAATAACATACTGGCTTTCCAGATTTCCATAGGGGCTGCTCGTGGCCGTGGTTAGCTTGCTAATAAGATGCCACAGGATTGGTAACTAGGTGAAAACATACGGATTGTGGATTCCAGAATGTGCACCATGCAAAGGAAAGAGGCCACCGTGATGCAGGTTCGGCGCAAGCTTTCGATGAGAATCCAGGACTGCAAAAGTGTCCATGTTAGTCAATGCTGTCCCATCGATGTCCAATAACTAGAGGCATATACTCACATCCCAAGTAGCCGGCGGGTGTTCCCTAGACGCAACATCCGGCGTGCCAAGCTCAATCTCCATCTCCTCCCTTATCCTGTCGAGCTCATGATGCCACTCGATCAGGATATGCCTGTCCCTGCCGGCCGAGTGCCGCAGCGAGAAGTCGCCGTCAAACACCCGGATCGTCTCGACAATCACGAGCGCCTGCGTCCTGGCCAGCTTGTCCATGACCGTCTCCGCCTTGGCCCCGTCCTTCTGGATGTCCGAGGTGGCCTGGGCGACGAGGTTGTACGTCCACGCCTTGGTGGGCTCCGTGCGGTTGGCGTACGTCGTCGCGGCGCAGAAGGCCGACATGACGGTGCGCGGCAGGTTGCTGCGGTACAGCCGCGTGTGGAGGAAGGGCAGCGCGCGCGTCCGGGCGAAGGTGAGGTGCAGGTTGGTGATGTACTGTAGCACGAAGCCGACCCTGCTCTGGGGGTCGTGGATGAGCAGGGGGTCGACGGTGAGGCACTCGTCCTCGTTGCCCGGGCAGGTGAGCGCCGAGAGGTCGCGGCGGATGACCTGCGCGCGCGGCTGGAGGGCGGGCATGTGGTGGATGGGGGCGGGGAAGTCCGCCTTGGGCTCGCCGAACGGCGGCAGGGACCAGATGCTGCTCCCCGGGACGTCGGCGCCGTTGAGAAGGTCGACGACGGAGAAGTCCAGGTTGGTGGAGTCGAGCTCTAGAGTCGTCCCGGTTCCTGGGGTCGCGGACGTCGAGCCTGAGCTGGCGCTGTGCGGGCCTGACGATGACGATCCGAAGCCTACAAAGTCCAGGCCGTCCATGTCAAAGTCGGCATGCGGGTCGTGGTCGCTCCCGCTCCCGTCCTCGGGCGAGTCCTGCACGGTGACTGCCGGCGCAGTGTGAAGATGATGATGGCCGATGTTGCCAGCGGCGGTGGTGGTGTGGTTGCTGGTCGCCCTCACTGGGCGGACAGGCGGCACCTTGTGGTAGACACAGTCCAGCCCCTTGGCGGCACACCGGGTGCACTTGGGATAGGACTTGTCGCAGCGGCGCTTGCCTCTTACACAGGCGTTGCAGCTCTTCTGGCGCGACGCGGCAGTGGCTGGCATCGACGATGTGTCCATGGAGGTTGGAGAAAGGTTGAAGGCGTTGAAGGGATCCATTATGTAGGCCTGTTCAACCACGGGCAGAGGCACGATGCGGTTGGTTGAAAGAAGAGGAATTGACCCGGCCCAGAGAATGGCGGCGGGCGGTCTGATTGCTTGCTCGCGCGTGCTTCAATCCCGCTGGTCTCGGGGCCCCTGAAGCTGGAGTTAACAGTCTCATTCTCCGCTGATGCCGGTCTGGATCAGCGGCTCGAGTCCGCAGTCCTCAGGCGCAGGCCCCACCCAAACCGCTGCATCTGGAACCAAACCCCGCAACTGACGGACTTTGCTCGAGTCTTTGCGCCTGCGTCTGGCGCATTCTTGGGACCAGGCGGGCGGACGGGCAGATCCAAGACCCGCAAACTCCGCCGATGCCAGCATTCCTCCGCTCCGCGCCATCCCCAGGTCACACCTACTTTATTATCGCCATGGCCAGTCTCGGCCCGCCGAAGACCTCTCTTCCCGGGTCGTGGCTCCCTTGTGCTGCGTGGTGCCGTGTGAGGGTCAGGTGGCTGATCTCCGGCTACACCAATCCAGCCATGTCTCTGCTCCAGAAGAACATATCACAGGTTCGCTCATATCATTCCTGTTTGGACGCACATTGTACATTCAAAAAGTGTCTGTTCTATAATTGAACCGCGTCTTGATAAAACAAGAACGCTACTACTACCATGAAATCCCTGCTAGATGCTCCGCATATACATAAATGATGCCTCACACCTGCTCCCACTATCAGGCCAGACACAACAGCCCTAGCAGTGTTGTTTTGTGTATGAGCACCCGTCCCGCCAGACCACACAAGAGAGAAAAAACCAACAGGGTATATACACCTCCCATGTCTCTGTTCTCGCCACCCGCCGACGTTGACGCTTCCCGAGAAATCGATTCCCCTTCACATTTCCCTCGTCAAATCCTCCCCAGTAGAACCAAAAAGTAGCATCTGCCCAGACCAGTAAACCTTGGGACCCGTCCAGAAAACATGTCGTCTGCCACGGATCCTCCTCTTTTTTTAAGTTGTTCAATTGGCGAGGGTAGCCTCGTACACCAGTTGACGCCTCTAAGGCGCGCATGACACCCAAATCCCCCTTTGATTCCCTCATCATAATGGTATAATTTAAAATGGAAAAAAATAAGTTGGTGATGACCGTGCTGGGCCTCTTGTCAGGCCAAATAAACATTTCCAGCCCACCCAGGCTGGGGTGGTGGTAAATAACCTCATACGAGGTA